AAAGAAGAAAGAAATATTCATACCTGTTTATCAGCTAGCAGGGCCCAGAAGCTCTTTGTATGCCTTGCGGTAGAGGAAAAACTTCACAGCATTTTCACAACGCTTCTGCCTGTGTTTGCACTGCCCTCTGCAATTGTGTAGGGCTTACACTGCAGTAGAGAAAGATCCTGTCATCACTGGACTGTTGTACAGTCTATAGAAGACTGTCCTTTAGTACAAATTATGCATGTCCAATGCCTCAGGCTTGTTCTTTCACCCGGTAGCAAAGAAGCCCGGCCCAAGGCTGCAAGCATGTGGTGTCCTGACTTATTCCTCCACTGTGAGGCAGGTGAGGCTGAGAGAGGCCGGCATGAACAGGGATCGGGACTTGGCCCGGAGGTGAGGTGCTTGGGAACAGGGGAAACTTCCCATCCCGGGCCAGGAGGACAACGGTCAGGCCCTCCACGGCAGCTCTGCAGGGAAGAGGTCGTTCTTCCCAGCTCTACCCAGAGATGCTGGGGATCGAACCTGCGACCGTGCGCATGCATGGCAGGTGAACTGCAGGCCCTCCCCTAATGTTCACCCAGCCATTACAACGTTTCTTTGGCATCTCCTGAGCCAGCATGTCAGGAAGGGTTGAAGCTAGCCTGCTTCCCAACAGGCTAACTTTGAGTGCACAGAGGGCCTTTCGGCAGGAGGGGCAGCACCTTCCTACTCAGAGTGGGCCCCTGCAATCTCCAGTGACACAGCCCAGCAGCAGGAGCAGCACGGGAAGCCGCCAACAGGATCCCTGTTCCAGTCCCCTCTTCTAAAGATCTTGAGTGCGCCAGGAATTTGCTTGTTCTTGATTGCTGCCGCTGGTGCATTAGCAAAATTGACATCCATATGGGCGAGCACAAGAGATCCTGCGAGCTGCTACTCCCTCTATTTGCATTTGATTTATTTGCCTTTACACCGAGGAGAACACTGAAAGCTGCAATTCTATCCCTCTGGGGCAAAGAACAGCTGCTGACTCCCCAGCAGCTACAGTTAATGCTGTATTGCTAACCCAGAGATGGGCAAAGAGGCCTCAGGAAAGATACCCAAACAGCAAAGCAGGGTTGCACTGTGATCAGTTTTTGGCTATAAGCCTTTCTACAGGAGAAATCTATTCTGTGTTCATCATTCCCTTCTTACAGTTCTTTACAGCTTGGTTAGACAATGTCATAACCGCCTCCACCCATTTCTGTTGTTTTTAAAGAGCACTTTAAAAAATAAGTGTAGGGTTGTAGTGTTACTTTTTTATTTTTAACATTTTAATTAACACACAGAAATAATCTACAAGACAAATAAATAACTTAATTATTTTTGAAAGCAAAAGAAAGTGCTTTTCCCACTTGTGCAATTGCTCTGTTCATCCGTACCACAGCGGCAGTCAGGGCTTTGCTACATGAGCTGGTTAATCCATGCTTTCCGCTTTGCTCCCAAGAGCTTTTCCTCCCCTGCTTTTCCTCTAGGCAGCGCTGTGGCATAGAAGCCTGAAGAGCATGGTAACAACCTTGACTGGTGAATGAAAAGCACATCGTACGCCTCTCATGCAGAAAAGTAATCAGCCCCGCTGTTGCTCATAGATCAGCCAGTCAGGCTGACCCCTGGGAAAAAACTTCACCCAAAACTGCTCCCATCACATGATTTATGCATGTAACGTCCACTAATTTCAATGGTATGTTTAACACTGCAACTTTAGGGTGCAATTCTATGCATTTTCAGGCAGAAACGAGTACTACAATTCCCAGCATCCCCAGCCAGGGATTACGCCTTTATTCAGCTGAAATCTTACACCTATTTAATTAAGGTTCATATTCACTCTTCACTGAACACAGAAAAAAATTAAAATGGCAAAACCTGCATTGAAAAAACTTTCTCCCTGAATAAAGCAATGTAGTTTGTCTATAACAAGGCGATCAGTATCGAACATCTGTTCACAGGGACTATTCCAATTAAAATCAACATTTCAATGTGCTGTTAACTACATTAAGCTGTGTCATGTAATTTCTTAACGTGTCTGCCTGTTTTTATTGTTGGAATTTTATACTGTTTTAAAATTAGGTTTGCATGCTAGTTCAGGGCTTAGATTAAAGGTATGGTTTAAAAAATCCTTTAATATATAGGATTGAATCCAGATTTAATCATACTTCTGGTAGAACCATTGAAATCAGCTAAACGAAACTTACCCCACTGATTTCAATGGGTCTTGCCTTCTCATGATGTGTCTGAAGAATGACAGCCGCGGTTGTGTCATTTTTGCTTCTAGGGAAAGCTCTGGCTTGATTTGATCTAGGACCCACTTCTTCCTTTTTCTGTCAATCCAGGGCATTCACAAAGCTCTCCCCAACACCATGTTTCAAACTCATCAATAATCTTCCTGCCAGCTTTCTTCACTGTCCAGCTTTCACACCCGTACATTGTGATTGGGAATAAAATGGTCTGGATGGTTTTGGCTTTGGTCTCTCGTAAAACATCCTTGATTCTCTCGCTGCCTTTCCAAATCTGTCTTCTTTGAATTGCTTGGCTGCAGCCTCCCTTTGAATTGATGACTGAGCTGAGGTATTTCAAAATCTTTCAGAGTTTCAGATTCTTCATTGTCAACAGTAAAGTTATGTAACTCTTCTGTAGTCATGATTTTTGTTTTCTTATTATTTAGCTGTGGTCCTGCTTTTGCACTTTTTTCTCAGGAGTCATTGCTGCTTCTGCCAGTGGTATGGTATCATCTACATATCTTAAATTAGTGATGTTTCTTCCGCCAATTTGCACTCCTTCCTGATTCTAATCCAGATTTCCGTATGATAAATTCTGCATACAAATTGAACAGATAGGGAGATAAAATTCATCCTTGTCTCATACCTTTGTCTGATACCATCCTTGCCCAAAACCATTGTTTCTCCTTATTCTGACCTCACAATCGCTTCTTGTTCGGGAGACCGGTTATGCGACAGGACAATCAAGTGCTGAGGTACCCCCATGTCTTTCAGGACCATCCATAGCTTCTCGCGATCCACTCAAAGGCTTTGCTGAAGTGTATAAAGACTGATCTTTTTCTGCAAGTCTTTGGTGCGCTCCAGTAGCCGACATATACAGTGTCGGTTCATGACCAAATCGGGTCGGGAAAAAAAATGTCATTAAAAAATTGACTCGGGTCGCGAACTCTGCAATGTATGGAGACCGCGATTGTGGCCATCTCCCCACTCACCCGAGTGGGGGCGAGGGGGAGATGGCTGAGATTGTGCCTGTCTTTCATGCACGAGTGCGCCCGTGATTGCGCCCGTCTTTCCTGCAGGAGTGCAACCGCAATCTCAGCCATCTCCCCCCCCCCCCAGTCCCCCCCCTTTTTCCCCCCCCCCCCCCCCCCCCGCGCCCGGGAAAGAGGGGCAAAGGCGGGGGTGGACGGGGGTGGGGGTGGGGGGGGGGGGGGGGGGAGATGGCCGCAATCTTTGTTGTTGTCACTTTACTTCTTCACATTTTTCTGATTAAAAAAAAAATAGTTACAGAACAGATTAACCTTATTTACATTGAACCTTACAGGGAAATTTAACTTGGCTCACAACCAATTTGGGTCATGACCAGAGTCCTGGAACGGATCAAGTTTGTGAGCCAAGGTACCACTGTATTTGCAATATGATCTCAAGTGCCTCTTCCTTTTTGGAATCCAGCTTGGAGGTCTCTTGCTTCATATAGGATAAAATTCTTTGTTGCAATGCTCAGAGCACACTTTGCCTGTGTGAGGAAATTAATGGGATGGTCCTGTGGTTGCTGCACTCTTTTGCATCTCCTTTCTTGGGGACTGGAAGGTATATTGGCCATTGTTTTGTTGCCCATTGTTTGCTTTCCGTATTTGTTGGCACATTGTTAGGTTTTGGACTGACTGAGTTTCTGCAGTTTGGAATAATTCTATCTGCATCTATATTTATTCTTTGCTAGTGTTTTCAGAACAGCTTTTCTAATACTGCAGACTCTTCTACGTAGGATTCCTCTTCAGGAAGTCTGTCATCCTTCCATCTCTTCTCCACAGTTTTTCTGCATATCCTTTCCACATTTTCTTTATTTTCTTCTGGTCTGGTAGTTCGTTCCCTTGCCTGTCTTTTAGCATCCCTAATCTAGGCAGGAGCTGCCCTTCGAGAGATTTCTGCCCACATCGTCACCACAGATATCCGTTCTCTTCTGCTGATGTGTCCATTCCTCCTAAATGAGGAGGAAGCATCTTAGTCTAGTGTCTCCTCTTTGACCCTTCTGCCTTGAGGGACCCTGCTAGGAGGCCAACGCAGGGAGACAGCCTGGCCTTCTGGTAGCATGGCACTCAGCTTCTCTGACAGCCTCAGCCCCCTTCACCATCTTAAGGTGTGCATCCCAGAGGAGGAGGACGTAATGTATAAAGGCCTAATGCATCTTGCTTTATTTGATATAAATGGAACTAATTTTATACTGCCTTAATTACCTGCACCATAAGTGCTGCCAATTCTAGTGCCAGATCTTTGCTTACAGGGAAACGTACATTTACAATCTGATCATTTGTCTGATACATTAGCAGTAGCTTTTCTCTTCCAGTCTCTGTGGATTTGCACTGAAAAATAGAGTCTTGACTCTGACTTAAGTCTAGAACCAACCCATAATAATTAGATTACTATTACCAAACACACATCGGCACATTCACGTACTGTTCAAATGTTCAAATCTAATACCTGCATGCGTAGTTTTTAAAGTATCCTTTTCCCCTTAATTTTCATCCCCTGAAGTGTATGTATTATTTGACAGTGTTCTAGCCCCATCTAGTGTTCTCTTCGAGTTAGACTTAACTGGCAAAAAAACTTGGACATTCTTAAAACTAGATTATGCACTAATTCATTTTTAAACTATTCTATATTGCGGCATTTATGGGGTGGGGAGGAACAGTCTCATACTATAACACATTGCTGGCATCAAATCAGTTAGCTACTCATAATTTTAAGTTGAAAATATCCTAGTAGCAAAAGCAAGGGACAGTACTATAAATGTTAAGTTAGTCTTTATTTCAAAATCAGAGTCAGAAGTTACATTCAATAGTGAAAACTGTTCAGAAGCTGGCATTATGTAACAAAAGCTTTTCAAATGACTAAGTAGTCGTGTAGGCTGGACAGATACACTCATGAAAACAAACAAGGGTTTGTACCTGGCAGCAAAATTGATACTAGTGGGTTAACTTTCTTCTCCCCCAGCAGCCCCCTGCATGTACCCCAGATATGATCCGGGGGAGCCCTCAAGCCTCTGGAGCAGACCTGGGGAGCAGGTGGAGTATGGGCTACAAGGAGAAGTTGGGGAAAGAAACTCGCGTTACGTGACCTCTGTGCTGGATCTGGCGACACATATCCTTGCTTTGGGAATTAGTATCAGCTGTCCTGCACCTGAATCCTGATCAAGCAAAACTGGGATATTCCAGGGAGAATTCACACACTGCAACATGTCTGCAAGAAAGGCACTTTCACATAACAACCAAATGCTTCTGTGTAGATCATATGTAAAATGATACTACACATATATAGATCAAGGCATGTACACATGTTGAAAATGTTTGATGAGCTTTGCAGAAGATCTGCATATAATTACTTTACACAAATTACGGTCTAGGTGGTTGTGACACATCCTGTGCTCCTGTGCCTTCCATGCAGGAAGTTTGCAAAGGTAGGTAGAATTGTGTGCAGAAACTGGGCAATGTAGGAAGCAGTTCTGAGGAACTCTGATAAAGACAGCCAACAGCAAGATATCCCCACATTCCCTGAAACAGGGCAAGTCCCAAGCTATTCCTTCGCTCTTCATGCTTTCAGAACACTGCACAGTCAGATGCCGTGAAGTTCTTCCCCCCTCCCAGGAACCACCCATCCCTTGCTGGTGTCCTGGTTTTTGTGCAGTATTCTTCCAATTCTAAGAGGTTGAAATGCTCACCTAAAGCTTAGTTCCTGGCAGAAAAAAGCTTAAAGCTACAATATGCTGGTATTTTCAGCCTCCTCCATCTTGCCTTTGGACCTGCCTTCAGTCCTTCCTCTTCTGGAAGTTGACCCTGAGAGCTTCTCCAAAATAGAATTTGGCCAGTGGGCTGAAAGAAGGTTCAGTCTGCTCTGAAGGCACTCCCACAACCTGCCATTCACATCGACTGCACTGGGAGAGGCAAGGGTGCCTCTGCGTCTTCCTTTCTTGAGCCTCTTGTCCAGCATATATTGGACATTATCTGTGCAGGACATCACGAAATGTAGCTGCCTCCTATTTGGTGAATGAGATCTACCAATCAAAACCAGCATGCAAATTTCCAAGTTTAGCACAGATTAAATGGCTACTTTTTTGTTCAAGGCAGTAAACAGATTTCTGGGAAACCTTGCAAAATAGATATCCTAAATATTTAAAGTGATTTGACGCTTTGTACAAAATGTTTATTGTCGGACACATTTCTGCATTTTACAGTATTAATCCTGTTTCCCTTTTTCTGAATGTGCTTTTATAAAACAGTTCTGACATTTACAAGTATAAACTTTTGTTTTTGTTAAAAATGAAGTTTACAAACCAATGCAATTTTTTAAAATATATCAGTGCATTTTGAAAAGTTTTGTTTTTCATATGAAGAGTGCAATTTTGCTTTTATGGTTCCTTTCAAGTTCTATAAACACAGCTTTCTCAGTCAATTGCCCTGGTCCAAGACGGGGAAGCAAGTATCATAATTCACTCCATTTCAGAGATCTCCCATTTTCTTTTGCAATACTTCAGGGTCACAAGAGATCTATACGTAAGCTACTCTTACAATAATTCATTTCCCCCGTATAGGCAGGACAGCAAATAGGCAGACACTCTTAGGAAATTGCTTATGATTGTTAAAAAATAGAAGTCAACAATATCCATGGTTACCTACCACTAAAGTCTTTACATTGAATATAAAACTTTCCTGCTTTTGCATACCAACAAGAGCAGGGGAGTTTTCGTCATCGTTTTTAGGCTGCAATATTTGAAAGCAGTTAATTATGAGCTGTTCCATCAACACAATCTGTGTCAGCATCTTTCTCCTGGTGGGACTTGTTTCCACACTCCCATTTCTTTCAGTGGGTTCACTGTAAGTTGGACTAACATGGGATACAGCACAAATCTTTTTTGGGCCCATGACTGCACAGGGAGCAAGAGAGGCCTGCCCAGCTTAACAAACAAAGCAAGGAAGCAAGCAGGAGGGACTCATGCACCTGTCCACCTCCGATTCTGCCCAGTTCCTGCCAGCAGGTTTGAATAGACAGAAGGCTCCAAAATCTATACAACTGCTCCCTTAGTTTGCATAATTTTAGGTGCCGCCATGCTCCATACTGGCCAACAGGCCACTTTAGCATCATGGGCAGTAGCTACTTGGTCTCCAAGTAAACAAACACAAGTAACTGACAGCTGTGTAATGGGACACTTCTTACATACAACTGGGTTCTGAGGCCCATTTGACCCCTTAGGACCAGACACTACAATGCTATTACATTTTACGAAAATCTGCCTGTAAAACATACGAGTGAAAAACCATTCGAGAATTCTATGGATCTCTAGGAATGGAACCCTGCCAAAATTGCAACTTGAAAGGATGGTCAAGGAGATGATGCAGAACAACTATGACAGAACCTAAAAAGAACGCATTGGGGCCCCCAGTGGAGTAGCCACGGGGCCCACGAGGCTGTGGAAACACTGAGCAGCATCCATGATGTTTACCACCCGTCCCCTTTAAAAAAACAGATATAAAATAAATTCTTTCATTCCCTTGAGAGTCTCTAGCCTTGCCTTTTCTCTCCCCAGTGCCTCTTCGCATTGCTGATCCCCACCTTGCAGCTTTTAGCCTTGCTATCTCTCTTCCACCCTTAGCACCACTTAGACTCAAAAACCTGAAGATCCTTGCGGTACACAATGCTAGGAAAGGCACACACACATCTAAAAGCACATCCAAGTGGTGAACTAACTAAGTCAAGGAGTCTCTATCAGGCAACGTCCTGCCCAAATGAGGAAAATAAATAGGCACACATTCTGCACAACAAATGTCGACTGGCAAAGCGAACTGAGAAGGAAATTGCGATGGACAGAGAAAAAAATCTATGCAATGTTTTGTTATTACTTTTAGAAATGTGGAACCAGCCAAAGAAACAACAAAGTTGTAAAAGGAGTAAAAGCAAATCAGCTCTGTTGAATCTTGTTGGGCTCGCTCAGGCAACCTGTAACACTGACCGGCCTTTCTTCACGGCCTGGATCCTGACACACCCATGCTGGGAACAGACCCACTAAAACTATTGCTCATTATTACTAACTTAAACCTAAATACTCGACTTTAGTCTAAACGGGATTAACACTGGATCCAACCCCTTGTCCTTAACTAAGCGGGCTAGAATTTTCTTTTTTCAGTGGCAAAGAGGTCTTTGACATGCAGCGAAGAGAGAAACATGGAGTAGAAATAGATCTGGCCTCTCTGTCCTTCGTAGAGCTAAGCAAGAGCAGTGCTTTAATTCACGGACATTCTCCACAGCACAGCCTTAGACGTACACATTCAGCCAGACATGCCCACCGAGGTTAAAGGGACCTGCTTTCCAATAAATGTACTTAGGGGTGCAGTGTGTTAGATTTTTTTTCAGGAACCACTACAGTACAAAAGATATAAATAGGACATTTGTGAAATGCTAACAGAATTTTTGATTTTAAATAAAATGTTTATGCATAAGGATGCACTTCAAAAGAATGTACGTCCATTAAAAAAATAGGTACTTGCACAGAAACACACTTCTGAGCCACCCTGATGGCAGTGGCTTCCCTTTAATTTATTAGATTTATATCCTGCCTTTTTTCCTTTTTTTAAAGAACTCAAAGTAGCATATATAATTTTTCTCCTCCTGCTCTCAATCTTATCACAACAACAACAACCCTGTGAGGTAGGCTGGGCTAAGAGTCTGTGACTGGCGCAAAGTCACCCAGTTAGAGGAGCAGGGACTAGAACCCAGAGTGCCCAAGCTCTTAACTACTACACTAGTTTTCAGATCTTATGGCAGGATAGTTTAAAATGCAAGGGCTCCGTGCAAGAGGAACAAAACACACCACTTCCTTTCTGGCATGGTATTCATATTACGCACAGTGCAATAGGGCAGAAATGCAGAGTTTCCTGGTGGGGGAGGAAGCAATATGGCTTTTGTTGCATAACCTGCCCTGGACCCCTTCCCCACATCCAGAAATGTAATGCAGATACAGTTAGCTATGTTGGGTAATCAAATGTGGCTGTAATAAACTTGAATTGAACGGACATATCAATATAAACAAAAACAAGATAGTACTTTAGTCTAGCATTAAAATATGCAGGGGTGAGAAGTATGTCAGCACCAAACTACACATTAACTGTTATTCTGAAAAGCAGCCCGGTCTCCCTATTTGCACTGGGGCCTTGGACAAGTTTCCTGTTGAAAAATCTGGGCTGTCTAGCTCCCAGGCTGCTGCTTGCCCTGGAGCTGCTTTTTAAAATTGTGCTTGTCTTACTGTAGCTTTACACACACACACACACACACACACACCCCATCCCACTTCTCACAATCCCACATTTCCTATCAAAAACTTCCATCGTCGTACTGGTTTCTCATGCCCTAGCCTCTCATAGTGCTGTACAGTATCTTGCAACACAAAAGGAAAGGCATGAAAAGCCCCCGTCTGTTTTAAAGAGAGGGTTAAGGAAAGCAGGAGCTAATGAATTTCTCTTTAGTTCCACAACTTTAAAACTATAGTGTCCCTTTCTAGTAATGGAATGACTAAGTCTAAAATAAATAGGAAGAAAGCAGTGCACACTATCACCTTAATAAATAGATCTTGCATAATGCAAATTCCTCAAGTAATGTTAGAAAGGGAATGAACAGTAAGAAAATAAAAATACAAAAATGAAATGCTTGGAGAGTAATATAACATGCAAATTCCATTCCTTAATCTTTTACCTTTTTCCCTTCTGGAAAGAAACCTTAGCAATTTATGATTGTACATCAAAATAGGTGACATTTTAAAACACTTTGGTGCTTAAAATACTTTGTAAGGATTGATATTTGACCTAGAATTCATCGTGTTTTCTCCTGAATGGCCACTTGGCGTGTTGAGATACATGATCAGCTGCCAAAAGTACCAGGCGGACGAATTCTTCCACATCGAAGGAGTAATTGGTAAACTTCGGGTGCTTTCCTAGTGTTGGATGATGCCCCTAAAGAAATGGGAGTTAAAATGGTTTACAAAGGAAGCAAACATGTAAGCTCTTTTGCTGGAAAACAAGTAGCAAACTGAGTAATTATTTTAATTCATAATAGCTGATTTATTGATTCCCCCAAAAGCAACCGTGTCAGTAAGCAAACACCTAACAGCAGTGCTATTGACACTCTGAGCTAATGGCCAATTAATATCATCTCTCTTCCTCCTCCAGCTATTCATATGAAATGACTCCTTAATCAGAGCAGAGAATTTAATTTGGGCGATGGCAGCAAAATCATATTTCATGTAAAAGAACTGGGAAAGGTAAAACGTTATGTTGAAACAAGGGAGCAAAATCAAACTCTCCCTTCCGTCCACTACCTCGTCCTGGGGGAAAACTTTATCCTCCTTTTGCCAGGTGATGTAATGGACGCCCCGCAGACTTGCTAGGTCCAAATAGCAGCGTTCATCTTCGCAGTTGTACCTAACCAAGGTGCAGAAGTGAAAGGACGCATTAGAAAAGAGGCTGCCTCCACCGGCTTGCCTTCTGCAAAAGTCAATAAAGTGAAAGAGTCCCTTTGCCAGCACTCGAGAGGTCAGGACTTTCCTGCTCCTCTTTTTCTTTTAAACTTTGCATTTACAGACACAACGAAGCAAGAATCCAGAATTTTCTAACTCTAGCCATGAATGCTTCACACCGCAGGTGAGCCACTTTGGTGGGATCTGTCAGAAAATTCCACACTCCCTCCACCCATCCTGGACATCGCCCTGAAGCTGCTACTAGGGGAATTCCAGAAGCATTCCACTAGTATTCCACTAGGCCAAAATATGAGTGGCAAATAAGGCAAATGTAGCTTGTTCTCAAGGTACATCAATAACAAACTCAATCTGGCCATTTACCATTTTAGAGCATCAAACTGCCATTTTTCCCACAATTGTGGCACTGCAGCAGGAGCAAGCCAAAGGGTACCCACCCCTGCTTTGCATCCTGGGGGTGCTGTTACACCCGCAGAACTCCTGCCATTCTGAATTCTCATTCCCCCCCTTCAGCTCAGGACTGTAAATGCAAAGTTACAGTTCAATGATTGGGATAAAACTGGGGGAGGTTCTTAGGTGTTAAATCTAGGGTTCAGCTGTCTCCTCCATTTCTATAAGTGGAGTAATTATTCCTATTTCACTGATACTGCATCTTTTTACAAAAGACAGTCTGCTACCTCTGCAACTTGTCATGGAGACCCAACTTGTTCTGTCCTCTGAGCTGCATTTGCAATCTTAGCCCAGAAGAGGTTCTTGACTATATTAATCAACAGACGTACACCTGGCTTGCAACTCAGTGCTATGATCGGTCTTAGGACTATGACCCATCTTTCCCTCAGGAGAATGGGGCAATCAGAAGCGACTTAACACAAGGTGCAAGTTTTTTCTTGCTTCTTTTGTTCCCAGAAGACTCCAGGTGAAACCTGAAATCATCACATCATCTGCTAGGGCCTCCTTCCCAATTCTAGCCTAAGATTGTGATCATGCTGACAAGTCTTACATATCGGGTTAACTTTTTTCCACCCTCATCCCACACTCCATACCTGCTTTTCATAACATCATGTCGGATGATGAGATCTGCAGATCTCAAAAGTCTGCACACTTTTACGCGCTTCTCACTGGCCCAGTAAAAGCCTTCTATTAATAACGATCCTGGAGTTTTTCTTATGACCAACACAGCCACCTTATCAGATCAGTATACCTCTTCGGAAATGAACCTAGGCAGTGACCAGCTTTATTAGCGGGCAATCTGAATTGTAACGAGTAGCGCTGCCTCCGCTTTTCCTTTGATTTTCACCAACTGCATGACCAAGATAAGCTGAATGGCTACTGCGACAAAAAGTACCACAGCATGGGTGCATTTATTAAAAAGCACAGCTTAGAAGCACTCTTTGGAGCGGAAACTGGCAGTCTTTATGTAAATATGCATCCAAGAAAGATATCAAACATACTAGCATAAGTACCACATGGAAGCTTACAGTTCAAAGATGACAGCCCAGTCTGGCAGAAAGAGAAGATGGGTAAGTCCTGCTCCGTGCATTCCAATAAATATATCCGTGTTGTGCGTAATCTGCAACTGCTCCTTAAATTCAAGCTCTCTAGAAAAGACAGGCCACAAGAAATGGACATCCAACTGATACGAGTCTCTGAGAATAACAACCGATTATGCCTCACGGGTAGTTCAAGGATATGGCAAGATATCCTATGCTTTTGAGTTGTAAAACATAAGCCACACATTACAATGGATTACCTAGCTTGCTGTCTGGATGCTCTGAATCTAAGAGGGTCACAGTGTTGCACTGGAGAAATTTAAAAAACAGCCTTCCAGGTGGACCCAGAGTGTGTTGTAGTGTCCAGCTCCTGTGTACATTATTACAACAATATCACCTAAGCTCAAATTGTGTGTTAGTCACAGGAGGCATTCCTATGCTTGTTCAGCCAGACAAAAAGTCCTAGTAACCCTCAGCCAGCCATGCTGGGAATTGTGCGGCACATTTCTTTCTAAACATGTCTAGGACTTGCTCTTACGTAAAACTGGTTCCTCTTTTCCAAATGTGTATTTTAAGCGGTAACACTGCCATCCTATGCATGTTTTCCAGCCTAGCCCTGCTCATTCTGTGTCCTTAGCATGGCAATTTTTAAAATGCCAATGATTTCAGTAGGGCTTATTTCGAAGTAATCAGGTTGCGCCCAAGGGTGATGCTGCAGTCCGGGGAAGCACTCCCCTCGTGCAAGGCAGAGTACTTGATCCCGAGCGATCCTCTTGCCGTTCCTCCCTGGTGGGGCCGGCATCGCCGGAAGAGACCGACGGCCACCTGCCGAGGGGCCAGTTCTTTCAGGGACCCGTTGACAAGCCCCCTGTGGCACTGCTCCTCCTCCGCCAGTGCAACCCTGCTCATTTCCCTGCCTCGCCGAAGCGAGGGAGCAGCAGCCGACGCCGCGGCCTCCTTGCTCACTGCCTTCCTGCCTCTCAGGCAAACAAGGGAAGTCCCAGACGAGGAGAATGGGAAGTGACGGCAGCTGCTGGTGGGAAGGCAGGCACACTGAGGGAGAGGCCCACCTCAAGAGTCCGCACTGCCCCTGTGCCCGCTGAAAAGCTGCCCTGAAAGGCTGGAGTGGGAAGAAGATTGCAGAAGGTTGCAGCAGGTAAGGGGAACCAAAAACAATTGGGTGCCTCGCCTTTTCCATGTGGAAGCACTTCCTGGTAAAGCAAAGCCACCAGTCGATACTCGGGATTCTGCTGCCACACTTAGGAGGGGAAGTAAAAGCCAATCCAAGTCTTTTAGGGAGAACTGCAGGCCCACGCGATAGACTTACTTGTACTTGTAATTCACTATTCGAACCTCAAACAATGACAGCGTCTTCAAAGCATTTGCAAGCTAGGAAGAAGGAGAAAGCAACGTTTAGTGTACTATTAAAGTAAAACCTTTCACTGTTGCCTGTACAGGTTCCCACACGCCCACTTGCACAAGACTTTATGTAAGAGAAAATGATCCAACCTCATTTTGATTTAATATCCTCCTGTATTCTGTACTTCGAGCGAGTATTGTAACTCGGATTTTCCCATCCTGTTGAAAAAGGAAAAACAGTGACCAAATATGTCCACTTGCACCAATATGAGGAAGAGAAAGGCAGGCTGACAGCAATAAAGTAACAGTGCGAATGGCATTATTAGCGGAATATTAAAACGCCTTTTTCTTTTATTCATTTCATTTGCAGCCCAGAGAGGACAGCCACTTGCTCCTGAGGACAAGTCCCAAGATGTTCATAGCAAGCCATATTCATAACTACACATCAAGAAATCATCTGAGTCCCCTCAGAGCTCCCTCCCATCACCGCCACAGCAGATGCCCACCAGCCTCCAAAAGCACAGTGCAAGGCACACCGGAGGCAGCCCCTGCCGCTGCCCTGCAGCTCGTCCAGGCCACTGCCTAGATTTAGGGCCAGCCAAGAGAGGGAAGGAGGCTGGCTGGGTGCTGGCTGGGCCTGGCTCAGCGCTGCAGTCTCAGCCTCCTCCCTTCCCACCCTGCCAGATCCCCCACTTCCCCACTGCAAAGCCTCAGGAGGAATGGCCAGCACAGTCCTTCCCATGCTGGCTGTGAGGGGACACGGGGAGCTCCGTCTCTGTCTGAGCACCAAGTCGATGGGCCTTGGGCTCCCACACCAAAGGGCAGCATCCCCATTACATCTCAGCCACCGCTACCCCGACACAGAACTAAGAGTGGCAAAGGCATTCAAGCGCCTAACTTTTTATTGAAATGCCAGACTGGGCTACTTCATCACCACATACTCCCAGGGGATCTGAAAAAGGGGTGGTCACAGAGGCGTACACAGCACGATTCACACAAAGAGACACCACGCGGGATGCGAGCGGCAGCCATCTGACAAGGTTGTTATATTCTTTCCCAATTTAAGATGCCATGGAACCTGCACGGGTGTAAATTGTAAAATAAATAACTAAGAAGCAAAAGAGCTTAGCTGCATGGCACCTCTTCAGGCCACTAGGAAATGTGCAGCTTGTGATAAACATGCAGCATAATCTCCAGCTGACATTTAAAGGAACTCAAAAGCTGCTGGAAAGACTTCCTCCTCCACCATCACCGCCAGTGTAAACACGTGTGCTAAGATAAACGGCCCTATTAACAAAGGACTGGCATCTGCATGTGGATGAAGATACTGGACACGAAGCCGATCTCACAACCCAGCCCAGGACTTAGATGAGTCAACCAACCCCAGGCTTGTAAAATTTCTCAGTTACACCAAAGCAAGTTGTGAAATGGTAAAAGTGGCTCTAGGATTCAGAGTCAAGCCAACATTTTCTGTGCTCGTGAAGAGAAAGGATGTGCTACTAATAAAAACGATGTTGGATGTTTCCTGGCTTATATAAGCTTAATGCCTTCCCCAACCTGGTGCCCTCTCACTGTGATAGGCCGCGGTTCCCATCAGTCTTAGCACTGGCTATGTTTGCTGCTGAGTGATGGGATCTGAAGGGCAGCGGGTTGGGAAAGGTCACTGTACAGCATGCAGTCATATGGTGGAGGAGTCATCTTTCTGAAATCAGGACTCTCTCTATGCCTTCTGTCATGGCAAGGGAGCTGGCGTCAACCACGCTGGCATTTCCGTCAGCCCACAATGCACATTGCAGGCATCAAAACAGAAGCATTTAACCTGTGACTGCGAAAGCCAGAGGAGAGCTGTTTTTGCTCAGTCGATAAGAGGTGCAGAATTTGCAATATTGGATCGGGATAAGTGATGGCACATGCACCCTCGGTTCCACTGGGCGGCAACTGTGATCGGTACAAAATGACCTACTGCAGCACGAATACCTTCGGTCCTTCTTGTGTGACATCTAATCTGTGCAACACGTGCTGGGAAAAGGCCCGAAATAACCCCGTGCCGTGGCAGCTGGAGATCTAGAATCAGAGCAAGCATATGCGAATAAAATGCACATTGTTCGTCAGTTCTGGGGAGCAACAGTCCCATGCAAAAACCTTGCTAATTTACATGCCTAGCAATGAAAATCACAAATGATATTCAGGATTTTTTTTAAGGAAGAAAGCCCTCCACCTGATTTACTCACCAATGGTGTATTATAAAATAAGCCGTACCTCATTCGAGGCAATAATGCAAAAATAGCTTCTTTGAAGCATACCTGCAAAGGGAGATAATTAACAAGTTACAGTGGAGTTCCTAATGTATAATTAAGAATGTGACTATAAAGCAGGTCCTGTTAATATTGCAGTAGAAACCAGACTAGAATGCCAGTCAGTGCTCCCTGGGTTAAGTGTTGAACAAATGACTAAAACAAAAACAGTCTCTGACACCAAGATCAAAGAATGGGGACTAAGGAAACTCTAGAAGTTGAGAAGGGCTTTGCACAACAGAGATCTCGGGCTTCCAGGGGAGCCAGAAGAAAGCGGAAGCCGTTTGTTTGTTTATTTATTTATTTATTTAGGAGGCTTCTATGCCGCCCCATTTGCCGAAGCCTCGGGGCGGCTCACAACCATAAATAAACTTCAAAATTGAATAATATATATTAACAATATAAATTAAGTCGCCCTGGGCAAAGAATAAAATGAATAAATACTATTAACAATTAAAATGACGTTTGAATAAAAAGGTCTTCGCCTGGTGCCGAAAAACAAGCAACGACAGCTGAGCGTGTGCAAGGAAGCTTCTCCACCCCATCTGATCCAGGAGCGGGGGCTGCCCCAGTCAGTGGGAAGGGCTGCTTACACAGTAGCCCCACTGCAGACTATCCTGTGTTTCCCAGCTTTTGCAGCACCTGCCTGGGAAGCCTGCAGTTGATGAGAAGGCGGCCACTTATAATGGCTTCTGTTCTTACGTCCTCAGGGGCGTCTGGCCCAATAGGGAAGGCCCTTATATCCTACGGCACCTCGGTGGCAACTGAAGGGCCACAGAACCCAGAGACAGGGCCAGAATTCGGGCTCCAGACTCAGATCGGGGGATCGGAAAAACTGCACTGGCTGCCTCTCCAAGGCTGGCAGCACAACCTTGGAGTGGCACAGGTGAAGGGAAGGAGACAGGAAAGGCCAGGATACAGGCTGTGTGAGGCTTCTCCAGCCTCCTTCCCTCCCTCCCTCCCTCCCTGCCTGCTAAACGGGCAAAAAAGCACCAATAACAACAAGGCAGGGAGTGTGGAGGGGAAGCAAAGCTCACCTCTGCTATTCCCCCTGCTGCTCTCACCCTGCACAGCACGAGCACAAGCCTGCAAGCTTGAAGCGATCGTCATGCCAGTAGAGACTGACTCCGTTTGGGCAGTATTTCCATTTTGCATAAGCTGGAACAATGTATTTGCATATTCTATTCTAGTAGTATTATATTACATTTCTATACCACCTGCAGCTGAAGCTTTCATTTAAGTTCCCCATCCAGATTTCAACCAGGCCTGACCCCGCTTAGCTACCAAGATTAGGCAGGATCACACGCTTCAGGTTATATGGAAGCTTCTATCTCAACCCTTCCGTATGCCAGTTTCATTCCCAGCTTGCATTAAACTGAAGTTCCCTCTTACATCTGAACTGGAAGTCTCTGGATTAACGTCCATCAAGTAACCAGGAGCAGATTGTGGTTTATGAAGCCAGGAAACAGCATCCAAACCTGACAACTGCTTTTTTTAGAAACTGAAGAATCTTTAATACTAATTTAACTGGTTCAGTGATACTTAATGTCCCAATATATATTAGGTACTGCAAGCACAACTTGAAACACCAACTTTTGGTATAGCTTAAAACAGTGAAAAAACATACTCTCTTTGAATCGTATGATTTCAAATGTATTATTTCGTGATCTGTAAATGCTTTCCAGGTTTCATTGAATAAATCTCCATATCCATAGGCACTCTGGACAAAAAGAAGCATAAGCACAAATAAGATTTTAGCAGAAAACTAGTGATAATTAATTTCACATTGTTCAGGCATTTATATCTGCCAATATCGTACTAGCCTTATACAAATCTACTGTGTGACCAAACTTGCAGTATGTCTCCAATAATGTTCACTGCACATCGAAAAGGATCTTGCAGGGCTGGAAAAGTGAGGAAAGGGGCAGACGAAACGAGCAAGAGCCTGGAGCAACCCACTTGTGAGGAAAGGTTACAGCTCCAGGCCTGCAGAAAAGGCAAGTTACAGGAGGCATCATGGATATACTCAAGATTACGCATGATACGAAGAACGTGCACAGGGGAAAAATTTCCTCCTCCTTTCATCATGCTAGAACGCAGAGTCACCCCACAAAACCGATGGGTGGGAGATTCAGGACACACAAAGGACGGCCTTCTTCACACAGTGCCTAGTTAAACTACGAAATCCACTACACGAGAGGCAGTGATTACTGCCATTTTGGGAGGCTTTAAACGAGAAGCAGACCTTCTACGACTAGCAGTAGGCTCTCTACGGCCACGAGTCCTGATGGTCACCAGAGGCAGGGTGCCTTTGCGTGCCATTTGCCGGAGAACACAGCCCAGCTCTCGCAGCTTGTGCTTTCCTGCAGGCCACTGTCTCAATGGAACCCTGGGCCAGATGGGCTCTTGGTCAGTTCCCACAGCGCATGTTCCTGTGCAGCAGCACTACATTAGCACTGCACATTAACCAGGAAGTACCCCATTTTGGTGAGATCCAAACAGCACATTTCCTTGAATATCTAGCCCTCTTATTCATCACTTAATAATAAAGTAAATGTGGAAGACCCAATCTACTTTTGGCACCTTAACCCATTGCTTCCTGCCATAGCCCCAAGCTAAATCAGGCCTTGTGTCTAAAATTCATATAGGACATTTTCTGTTCCCAAACCCTGTAATTTTTGAAACCCCTTCTAACTCCCACTTTAAATATGGGGCTTAGGAAGTGGGGAAAGGCCTCAAGTCCCTTCTTTGCAGCAGGGTAACTGAGGATTTTGGGGACAGCTCATGGGATCACTTACTTAATAGGCTACTGGCATTTAGTAAGAATGCTAATTCTGCAGTAGCCAAAAGCCATGTGCATCATGTGAAGCCAAATACTAGATCAGGAATGCACAGTAAGCTTGTTCACTATATTGAGCAACTTTCAATAGTTGCTTGGCGCCATCTTCTGGCAATACCAGGAATTTCAGTAATTTTGGTGAACTCTATAGCTTAGAAGGATTCCTTCTCACAAGGAAATCTCATGCATTCTTAATCAACGTTGCACCTCAAGGAAAGTTCAGAAAACAGGAAGCAGAATGAAACGCATCAGAATGGAGAGTACTAGTACTAGATGGGATGCTGGTTAATCCACCAGACAGAAACCACCAGCACCAAATGTCACGCAGGCAATGGACAAAATGCTGGGGTTCTGCCAAATTTCCCAATGCAGGGAACCAGAAGGGAAAGAAAGCATAGGAAGCAGCTATCTTATAAAGAGCTTGCTTTTGCTGCTTGTGGTGTTGGTTTAAAAGGTGTACACTGCCTTTATGTCTTTTTTTGGCATATAAGGCAATATGTAAATGTTTATAATATAAACATGCATACATGGAAAGACTATGCAACCTCTGCAAAGAGGGAAAATATAGAGACCACTTGATATGGGAATGGAGCAATTACGGTTTGGATTCAGAAAGAGCAGACTTGGCCACTCCACTGTCGGTGGGGTTGTTTATCCACTCTGGACTGTAATCTTTAAACATTCAGGTTGTAGTCTGAATGTTTAAGTTGTCCATGGTGTTTTTTTTCTCTCTATCTCATACACACAGACACACACACACACACATATACAAACTTTAAAATACTGGCATGCTAGTGATTCATAGGCAGGATGATGTATTATTTTCCCCAGGTCCAATATTGGAAATGTGGAGCAATGTATGTGGCTGCACTGCACTGGAACAAAACTGCCACATCAAAAATAGTGGAGGAACAAATAAAGAGGAAGTCAAATAGGAGTGCAAGGACAGCAAGCATCTACTCCCTCTGCCACCAAAAGACCAATCCTATCCCTTGGGCAAGATCCTGTTAGAAAAACACTCCACTTCACTGTATGACAACGGCTCGTGCCAGTTCTGGTACACTGCATGACCTATTACTATACTGACCATCTACCACAGGTAAAAATAACTACACTTTTGCTAATACTACCAGTTTCTTGCATCAGATAAAATGAGGTCACATTAAAGAAGGAGTACAAGAAGTGTGCTATTCTTATGGGCATCATCACGGTATTAACCTTTACTTACAGTATCCCACATGACGATGTTGACATCTGTACTGAAAGAATTGGTAACATGCTGAGTGATGTAAAGATTGACAAAATCACAAAAATGGTGGTACATGTTAACACCTAAGAGGAGGAGGAGAAAAAATTAGACTTGTCACATCACAGTTAACAAAGTCCTTGTGTTTTTGTTTTTGGTTTGTTTTCTTTGAAAATCTCTGTGTTTGCTTTGATTTTCTGTTCCTTTTACAAAGTAAAACCACCCAGAAAGTTTCCTCTGTGGGGAAGTATAGAAATGAAATAAATAGTAAACATCCTGGAACCATCTCTCTTGGTTTTTTGATGAAGGTGTAAGTCATAAATTACATATGCAACTGGAAGACCTTTTTTGTCGGAGAAAATATTTTCTTAATTGGATTTATGCACTTTTTCCGAATATTACCTATAAAAATATTTTCCCTTCCATCTCTGCAGATCATCAAGGGATCCAACATTCAATAATACCAAAACATAAAAGAATATACATGTCTTACATATAAGACCATCAGCAACCTTCAGAATAAGAGAAGCAGAAATAAGTCCCAGAGATAGCCAGTTTCTGCCCAGCTCTTCCAACAAAACTGAGGTGCATGTAACACCTTTTTATACAATACTCACAACTAAGCTAATCCACTGGTTCAAATAGGGAAACTACTCGAGACTGTTACTTAAAGCTAAGCATTATATTGGATTGTGTAATATTAGTGACTAGATTTCCCCAACTTCTTCACTGTGTAAGTTTTAGAATGAAATGCAGCCTCAGAGAAAAGCTAATTTGATCAAAGTAATGATCCTGGATGAAAGGAAGCTTAAATCTATCCTGTGATGCTATTTTACTAATTGCTACTTCCAGATTTCTATTTTCCTCACAGTATTTGTTTTCCTTCCCTCTACAAGGAAAACAATCATGGATGGAAGGCAGGAGATTTTGACCAGGAAAAGTGGCATGAGGTGGGTGGGGAGAGAGAGAAGATTCAAACACTGCTGTTCCAGTGAGACGGCACGAGCACACAGAAAGACAGCAATGCATTAAGTGGGTAGGAAGGAAGGAAGCAAGCAAGCAAGCTTTGGCCATAGATTTGTACATAAAGTCTGTTCTAATATCATAAGACTCGGAAGTGGAAAGAGGGGCAGATTAAGCCAGTATTGTTCATTTATGGTCTGGAAGCCATGGCTTCATACACCATTTCTGCTACACACCCTGCTCTGTACAGACCTCTGTAGAAAACAGAAATACTATAGATCCCAGTTCTCTGCGATCTTGATTGGAAAGCCTCTGAAGTCCTTGGGAAAAACTATAGGAATGCTGCTATATCAGTGGTGTTAAAAGGAACAGGGAAAGGCCAAAAAGTATCTTACTGAAATGATACCTTACTCATACACTTACTTAAGCAATTCCCACGTCCGAGTCTTAGCCAGCTCCCTATTTGCCTACTTGGTATCACAGGAGCCTAATAACACCAGTAATACTTTGTACTATTCAGACTTGTCATTAGAATGATTGAAGATTATGTGAAGTGCTTGGAGTGTATAGCAAAAGTATTTATAACTATATTTATAACTAAAATATAGTAAGTTCTATATTTCTCTGCAAGGGAAGAGCCCTTGAATTTTAATTGTCTTCATTTAGGACGAGCAAGATTTGGAAAACAGAACACAATTTTGAGCTTTAGAAGAGCTCAACCCTTCATTCAAGTCAACTATTGAAAATCTGCTTACATTAAACCACATTAATCCAAAAGTTAAACCCAACTAGGAGCAGACCTTGAACCCAATTCCAAAGCCTTTGGAATGCTCTAAGAATCCAAGAATCGATTTTGGCACCAAGTTGTTGTTTCCCCCAAAACTCCACACCACTGTATGGCAGGGATGGCATGACAGGTGTTCTTTCCCACTGAATTCAGTGGGAAAGAACTGAATATTTATGAGAGTGGTACAGTCATGTGCTCTTTAGAAGGCCAGATACTGAAGATGAAACTCAAATATTTTACCCACCTAATGAGAAGGAAGGACTCCCTGGAGAAGAGCCTAATGCTGTGAACAACTGAAGGCAAAAGAGGAAGGGGACGGCAGAGAATGAGGTGGCTGGATGGAGTCACTGAAGCAGTTGGTGTGAGCTTAAGTGGACTCCGGGGGACGATGGAGGACCGAAAGGTCTGGAGGAATGTTGTCCATGGGGTCATGATGGGTCAGACAAGACTTTGCGACTAACAACAACAGCAGTCATGTGCAGGTACCCATACATACAGAAATTACCACCCATTACTTTTAGGATGCCCTTCGATGTGACTGGCAATGCTAAAAAAAACCTGCATACCTGCAGAATCCTGTGTGTATGAGTCACCTGCACGTGATCTCCTCGGTCGGTTAAACTCAGCAAGAGCAGTGGATGCCACACTACCAGCAGTCGTGAAAATCCACACACTGAAAAACTGTAGTGGTTTATACATAGGTGTTATGTGGAGTCTAAATCAAAGCAGATACTCTGTGACTGAGAAAACTGGTATCTTATAGAATCCTATTTCTTATTCCAATATCATCTCATGTAATGATGCAAAAAGAGCAGGGCTACTTTTATTAGTGTTTGCAATACCGAAACACAGAAATACCTTGTACCTGCATCAAGCTTCATGAAATAAGTTAACTTGTCAATAACAATGTCACAGTTGCCATCTTCCAGAGGTCTAGAATTCAGTTCTGTGTATGTCTGGAGCTCAGCAAACCTGTAATTACATTCATTTACCAGAAGTGCCAAAAAATATATCCATGGTTAATAATTTAAACAGTGCACTCTGCAGACTTCTCTTAACAATACTGGTGAAGTTTGATAAAGTTTCACAATTAAAATTATGTTTAATTGTAACTGAAGCTTCTTCAGTAAGGCTTCAAAAGGTTAAACTCTGCCTTTGATCTTGGGAGCAAGCAAAATCTTTGATCTATAAATCAAGGGCTGGAGAAAAGTTTCAAGGGAGAGAAAGGCTTGCTGTGCGTGTCTCCTGGATCCAGTTAATGCGAATACATCGAGACGCATGTCAAATGCACTGACCATGATTTCCAAGAACATCTCAGCAAAGGCATGAGCTATTAATGACCGCAGGCACAAGACAGAACTTGAGACCAATTAACGGGTTCCATTTACAGGTCTAATTCAAACACATTTCCTCCATGAGGTATTACCACTTGTTCAAGACGCCACTGATAAAGCCTGAGCAACTAGTGCAGATCTTTCAAGACAGGTATAACATGGTTTCTATACCATGCACTGGTTGGCCGGGTGTTTGTCACATGGCAAGGGGTGCTGATGGTCAAGAAGCAGCATTCTTGGATGCAAGAAACTCACTGCATGCTTCTTCGGGCACCAGTTGCAAAGAACAGGCCATGCCTGTTTCTAGGTCTGTTCTCAGTTGGTACTTATTTATTTTCCAGTTCGGATTATTATATTTATTTATTTAGGCTATTTTTATCCCATCCTATACCAATGGTCTCTGGACTGCTAACAGTGTGATAAATTAACAATAAATACAGCAATCAGTAACAAAATAAAATACAACTGAGGATGTTAATAAAACCAGATTAAAATATCTAAACATTAAAATATTGGGTAAATAAAAAGGTTTTAACCTGGCGCCGAAAAGCATATAAAGTCACTGCCAGGCAGACCTCTCTGGGGAGAGCATTCCAGAGTCGGGGCGCCACCACAGAGAAGGCCTTCCTCTGGGTGTTCACTCTCCTAACCTCTTCAAGGAGGGCTTCCAGAGCAGGGCCTCTGCTGCAGATCTTAGGGGGTGGGAGGGCATATAGGGATTAGAGGGTGCAAGGTTGCCAAGTGACCCCCTTTTCTGAGATCGTGTCCTTACTCTCATCTGGATGCTCTTTCATTATGGAGGCCTTTTCCTTCCCATTCCTGGTCTGCTGGGATGGAAGAGAAGGGGCACTTCCAACCATGCACATTCTTGACAGCTGAGCCATTCTTCAAAGATGGATGTCTCTGAAGCACAGGAGAGCAGTTATAGCTAGAAGTCTTACCAAGACTGGAGAGGACTCTTCCGCTGCCCTTCAGCAAGGAAAGCTTGAATGTCCATATGGCAATGACCTCCAATCTGTCCCTTCTTGAAGAAGTCCTCATTAAACCTAATGTAAGAAAAAATTAAAACACTGTGAAGACATGGTTTTAATTGTCTTCAAAGCATGAGCCAGGTCTAGACTGAACTACTGTGTAAGAATTACCAAAATGCTTCACAGTGACAATATCTGGCACCGATCATCACTTGTCGGCAACATCCTTAAGCACACAACTATTTTAAGGTTAGAAAGACCTATACACCCTAAAAGTCAGTCCCCACAACAGGGTCTTTTTTATGGTTGTTGCCATTTCTGTACTGCCCCATTGCCAAAGCTCTCTTATTCAAAAATAAACCTCACAGTATTCCATAGGGTTTACTCCCATGTAGTTGTGCATAGGATTGTCTATAATCGTAAACGTAAGCCTCAAAAAACAACATGGGACTTACTTATGAGTAAATGGGCAGAAGATTGCACTGCCAGTAATATATGGAAACATGGCTTGCATCAAGCTACGCAGTGTTCCACTGAACGAAAATGATGATGGCATTGCAGCCTTACGGCTGAAATGTAGGCTGGAGTCGTGATAAAGCAAGGTGCTAATCTATATATTAAGAAGTGAAAATCTATATATTAAGCAAAGAGGTGGGTTCTTGCTATAGCAATCACGTAACATCTAAAGATGTGCTCAGCATACTGCACAGGCCTCCTCAACTCATGTTTTCAACAAACTAGACTAGCTCCTGGGAGTAGCCCTAATTTTGATTATTCTGTCCCTCCTCTGAATTCTGCAAACCTCTTTTGAATTTAGGAAAATCCAGTATTTCATATTAATTGTTTTTCTGCAGTGATTGAAGACTTCATTTATCCTTATCCTTGTTAAGTTGTGAATTTATGCTCACACCCCACAAATGTTTGTGTGTTTATAATCACCAGGATCAAATCAGAAAGAAACCACCAGAAACCGCAGTTAGTTAATACTATGTTTGGCTTGGTTCAGTTCTTGACATATCCACTTAAAAAGATAGGATACAATGTGATGTGATGTGATGTGCCTGACCTTTCCCAGAGACCCAGGACGGCTGCAGTCAGAGTGGGCTGAACAGATCATTGGTCTGAGTATTAGACAGCTTCCTATGCTTCCCATAGGAAACCCAAGGGAAACTCGTCTCCCAAAGAAAGTGGAGGGACCGTTTTACAGTCCATTCACACATAATGCTTTTCTCTACAACCATGAGGGCCACCCCATTAAATAGAGGAAAGGACTTAATCCCAGGCATCAACCTTGGATGTTTCCAGCTATCCAAGTTTATATGTCAGTTGCAAAAGAATAAGAAAAGGAGGCCCATTAAGTCTTCTGTGGATGACATCTGCTTAACAAATTTTCTTCCATAGGCTTTGTGGGATATAAGCAAGCCACAGACCTATCATGGTTTCTCTTTGGGTTCCTTAAATCAATGTACAGGTTTGTTGCTCTGCAATACTGAAGATAACGAGAACATTCCAGTGAAGAATCTCCCTGCAAGGGAATGGCAAAGGCGACAGTAAGCCACTTCTTAAGAACTGGAGGAAGTGAAGTATCGCACCAGAAGACAGGCAAGGTGCTTACCACAGCTTTAGGTCTGCAGTGACTCTTCACTTCATTCATCCTCTCTCTGACATAACCAAAGTCAGCTTGGTTCCAGAACGTGTGCTGAGCCTCCTCGATGGTACTTGCCCTGGCACGCAGGAAAAATGCAAAAGCACGTCATTGAGAAAATGCCAGCCTTAACTATAGCAGAACATTGTGTTCCCCTGCACGTGAAGCCATGAAAAGGGTTTTCTTCAACGACTCTGGCCATGAATGGAGAAGGCCTACAGGCTTAGATAATTGCCAGTGTGCACAAGAAGTTTGCTCTGGGGTGGAAATGATATTGGAAGTGTTTGAACCGTCTCAAAGTTAAAGACATATAACAGAATAATGTACGAACAAGTGGAGTCCTGCAACCAACCACTGCAGTGTATCTCTGGTGGATCTATATTATGGGAGCCTGTGGGTAGAGGAGCTGAAGAAGAAAAATTGGTATTCGAAGCGCAGGCATTTCTACACTAACTTTAGTCTTCTTTCATGTGCAGCATTTATTTCAGTTTAAGATGTGAAGTAAATGTTCAACCAGCACAAGGTACAACACACAAAAACACAGCATTCACTGGATTTGGGCTAGGAGAAAGTCAGAGGGAGCAATTTAAGCATGTATGAGGATTTTTGACCCAGAATTCCAGCAAGCCTCAGCCCTAACTGACCTTCAGTATTAGCGATGGAACCACTGCAAGGTCACCTTAAGCTGCTGTCTTTCTCAACCCAACCCTTCCCCACCTCAATTTGCAAAACACTTTGCTGCACATGAGACTCTCAGCCTAAGCTCCACAGTGGGGATAGAAATAATGCATGACACTTCATGGACATTATAACTTTTATAAGAGGCAGCTCAATGCCGTAAGTCACTTCGCATCCGACCTGCAGTGCTCAGCCTGAACGATACTACAAGGCTGTGGTAAGCCAGACCTTCCAAGCTAAAGCCTCTTCCAACTTGTCATCTGGGAACCGTGTGCTGCATTTGGCTTAGAACTTGCATTAACAGGGATACATTAAAATTGATTCATATAAGGCACATCAGATCTGCTGGGAATTGTACCTGTGCATGGCTAGCAAGCAATCCTGCTCTCCCTCCAGCGCTGGCAAGAGCCTGGGTGAAAATAGTGACAGTTGCCTTTGCCAGCTGTCATCAGATAAAGTCCCTTTGCCAAAGCCGCAGTGCTTTTTCTCTTCTGTATCCAAGCAAGTTTGGGTTCAGACCACACATCAAGCTTCTACGGGTTGTTTTACCCGTAGCACAAGCCATGAGTATCTGGAATGGTTTCTAAGCCCATGAGAACAGTACTGGGTTGGTACCTAAAATCAGCTACATTACAACCTCAGATTTTCCCATTGATATGTAGGGACATTTAAAAACATTTTCTCAGTGTGGATCAGGAAATGACCTCTCCAGATGATAAAGATGTCTGAGGGGATTGCTCCTTGTGGGGCTGTACAATTAAAATACATAGGCTACAGTATATAAAAATCCAAACACATAAAAAGTACTTTAAACCTAAGCTTAATTTTAATTTTATGTTGTGAGCCGCCCCGAGGCTTCGGCGAATGGGGCGGCATAGAAATGTTTTAAAGAGAAAGAAAGAAAGAAAGAAAGAAAGAAAGAAAGAAAGAAAGAAAGATAAAATCAGCATTAACTACTAAGAGCTCTATGGAACAATGTGTTTTTCATCTGCTCTCTCAAGGACACTAAGCAGGAGGCACCCAAGCCAGCCGGGAGGGACAACTAGACAAAGGAGCCTGCTACAAGCACCCACCAGCCACATCTCTCCAGGAGGTAAAGCTAATAGCAAGTCTTCAAAGGGCAAACAAAAATGCCGGCCAGGTTCATCGGAGAGGAGGGGGACTGTTAGGTACCTGCTCCCAAGCCATTTAGGGCCTTATGGACGGGAATCAGGACCTCTCATTGAGCTTGGAAGCACAAGAACTTCATGCTGCAGTTCCAAGGCCCGTTTTATATCATCTATAAAATGCACCCCAGACAAAAATCTGGCTGCTGCATTTCGCACTAGCTGAAGTTCCTCACGGTCTTCAATGGCAGGACCGTGTGATGTAGATGTGCAGTGATTCACACATGTCTCCATGGAGCCAGATCAGCTCCTCTAGGAGCAAATGCAACTAGCTCACCAAAGCCAAACAAATCCACTCTTGGCAGCATGTCCACCACATCCCCAAAATTCGTACTGAAGAACCTTCAAGCTGCTCGTGTGAGTTGCTCATATGACTGCAAAGCAGGTAAATGTCTAGACTGCCCAGCTCGACGCAGAGCGGATTCAAGTAGCAGTTTTTATCCAATCTGAACTATGATCTGCATCAATGTCCTTTCTCCCTAGTAGATGCCGCCTTCTGAAAAGCCTCTCTGAGGCAGAAACTCAGTACTGAACTGCACGTTACAGGGACAGATAAGGAACCCCTTGGAAGTGACACAGATCATAAGGCAGGGGACGCAGTACGAGGTGTGACAGCAGCTGACTGATCAACAGTGTTTCTGTTCCGCTGCTTTCTCCCCGCCCCCCCTTAAGAGAGCTGAGAGGTGGTGACCCACTCATCAACCCTGGTCACCCTAGTCCCTGTCTGACACTCTAAGCCAGGGGTCCTCAAGCTTTTTTACCAGGGGGCCAGCTGAAAGGTGCCAGTGCTGGGCACGGACCAGAAAGGTGGTGCCGGCGCTGGGGGCAGGCTGGCGGGGGGGTGGGGGCGTGGAGGTGCCCGCACTGAAATGGGGCAGGGTGTGTGGTGAGGTGAGGCGAGGCGGGGGTGGGCATGCGCCGCAAGGCGGGCGCACGAGCAGCTGCTGGCTTGCTCGGATATCATTTTCTCCGAGCGAGCAAACCGCTGCCTCCCCGCGTGCGGGGCCAGGTCCAAACGGGCATGGAAGGCCGGATAAATGGGCATGGAGGGCCGGATCCAGCCCCCCAGGCCACAGTTTGAGGGCCCATGTTCTAAGCACTAGAACACACTGTCTCATAAAATGCACACACAGTATTCAGCATTCAGCCAGACATATTTGGATCTACTATAACCAAAGAGCTTTTGCACATTCAACTTGGCTGCAAAATTGGATTCAATGTGTTTGAAAAAAAGAACAGCCATGCAATTACAGTCCACACATTCTGTGTGCATACTTACCACCCTACCTCAGCATAATCACATGCTGGATATCCAAACCTGTTCTCTGGCCTGCAAGATTTTTCATAACCCCAGCAGGCTTTTAGTTTCTTCAGGTATTTCTGTCAACGCAAAACAAAACGTCCATTAAAAATGGGTCTGTGTTACAGCAATTTATAATTGACTTCTAAATACTTATTTGATTATCTCTGTTACTAGGAAACGTCAGCTTTACTTGCAATTGTCCAGTTTGCTACTCAATTCATTTCTTGTAGAATTGAATTAACTCCCCCCCCGAAAATCCTGTGTTTCAGAATTAACATCTGAAAATATTTCCAGTTCGACACATAGATATCTATACTAGTAAAAAGACAGCCTTGGCCACTTGATACCTTCCATGTGGCTTGGACTCCAACTCCCAGCACTCCTGACCACTGATGAAGCTAGTAGGAGTGCCAGCAGTTGCAGTCCAAAACACGTGTATCAGATAGGAAAGGCTGCTGCAAGGTTATAAAACGCCAGGTAAAATTGGCCACCACATCTGTTAAAGGTACTCACCTCACATGCAAATAGGTACCTAGGACAGGGCGTGTCACCTCCAACCTTTTTGGGTCTGTGAGCAAATTTCAAATTTTGAGAGTGTCCTGAGCACATAGAATTGCTGTTACGGCAGCTGCCTTGGTGATACACTTATTTCCCAGAAGGCAAACTGCCAAGACCAAGAAAAAAATAACTTGCCCAAGAAGCTAAGCACAAGGCATAGGTGGGGTCTGGTCTTGAAAAGACAATTCTGTGATCCGTTGCTTCTAAGAATAAAACAAGAAAAATGAGTACTTACTTTATATGGGCAACGAGGGTCTTGCTTGCAGGCCATGGCAATGTGCTCATTATTATACAAAAAATATGGGATATGCTCTTCTGGCAAGTTGATGTTTCCATAGCTATATAATTGTCCTTGTGGGATACTGCTGCTGCTATCAGTAAGATTTTCATCTTGAGTCCCGGCCAAGTTTTCTTGAAGTAACACCCCAAATGCAAGCAGCATTAACATGGCAGTTAGGGAAACCTTAAAAAAAACCCACCAAAATGCTTCAGGATGCCATAATTACAATTCACGAGACTTCTTCTATTAACTCATAAGCCTACAGTGTATTTTTGAATTCATGCAGCTATAGATATCTTATCCAGAATGACTCTCTTCTTGGCATATACATGTTATTACTGTGACAGATCCTAAGCCAATGGGTAAAGGGAAATTTGCCGTTCCCAAGAGATGCCTGGGAACTCGAGGCAAGAAACTATTCAGGCCTCCCAAGAGCTTTGCTTCCTCTGTCCCAAAATGAATGGGAACCAAAATAAACAAGGACCTGAAATGTCAAATCAGATTGCTGTATATTTACTGTGTATGTACATGTTATGAGATTTTGCAACTAAACTGATGGCTGCCGAGAGGAGGAATCAAATTCCATTAAACCCCATTGTAGATCCTCCAAGCTCAGGAGGTACAGTAGCCACTTCTGATGGAACTTTTCACACCACATGACAGCTTTCGAAATTATTTTCATGGATGAAAACACATTACAAGAACTATGGAAATAGGCACTATTTCCACCAAACAGTGGGAATGTATATATATATAGAGAGAGATGGACCTTTGCTGAGCAGGTTCCACCTTTCTATGCCCAGATGCATTCATCTTGATCTTTGCTTTTAGGATTGTGAAGTATTCTTGATATTTGCCAACTTGGCTTGCAAATAGATCTGAGGTGAGAACAGAAACTGACATTAATGGTTGTTGGTATCAAAAAAGGCCTTGACTGCTCCCTAAAAGCAATATATATATATATATATTCGGTTCACTGGAGTGGGGGGAGATACACATTTTAAAAATGTGGATCTTCTTGGGTACTATCAAGAAAACAGGCTTTCCAGACATGCCCCTTTGCCTTCTCTTCTCTCTCAGCTTTCTGTTACTCTTTATCAGCTATGCTGTGAAAGACCTTCACAAAGAATAGGAAGAGATAAGACTTGAAAATGTGAATTTCTATAGCACTTCTGGTGCTTAAAGTTTGTCGGCTGCATTATAATATAATCTTTACAACCATTACTGCAAGACAATCCAGCCTGCCTAGGGCCACCTAGTAAGTTCCTAGCACAGACAAGATTCAGCCCAGGGACATCTGAGTTACCCTGCTTTTTAAACAAACCCAGCAAAATAAATTATGACTTAGAAAGAAAGATTGAAAACCAAAAGCTCTCTATACCACAAGAGTCTAGATATATGAAGAACATGCAAATAGTTCTTCCATGATTACTGACAATGAAAAGATAAATTGAAAAATGTACCTCGCTCAGCATCAGCAATAATCACAGACAATGGAATCCAGTTAGCTCATGCTGCTGGGAAAAAAACAGAACTTAAAGTAGTAATTTCCCTTTCTCCATGTAGCTACCTGCATGCACCCAAGGCTGTTGATGATTAATTAATCACTAAATTCAATTCTATCACCAGATACTTGAATCAGGATAAAGGATTACTAATGCATTTAATTTCCTTCCCACCTCAATGTTTAGAATTCCATCCCATTCCTCCATCATATGTATATTGTGTGTGTATGTGTATGCATGTATAAAACTCTTGGTAACACTTCAAGCATCTGATGAATCGAGTATGGAGTTGATAAAAGCTCAATCTAGAATAAATCAGTCTGTCTTTAAGGTGTCACAAGAATCTTTATTGTCTTTGCTTCAATAAGCTAAAACGAATAGCCATCTGGAAATTGTTTAAATCAGTTCTGGATAGTAGACTAAAGATTAGATTGGACACTAATTTCCAATCTGCTAAATGCTTGATGGTTGCTTCATTTGAGTAAAAAATACTGAGTCAGACAGACTGCTTATCTAATTCTTTGAGGCCTCTTTGAAAAGCAAGTGTTCATATGTAGTATTAGTTATACCTTCACCATTAAAGAGATCCAGAGTATGTTGGGTTTTGTTCTGTAAAGAGAATAGCTGTGCCCTTTTTTTACTCCCTTGCAGCGTCAGGGTTCAATCCAACTAGTATAATGCAACAGGAATGTGAAATGATTCTAAGCACTTAAGTATTCTTATTGTTAGAAAAGGTGTTCTAATTCCAAGTCTGGGATTAGTAGACAGGCAGGGTTTAGAAGTAAACCAGTGCAAGTTCCACCCTCCCGTGCATTCTTGCTGTCCCTGCCACTTGGACGTGTCTCTCATACCAGCTGGGAGGTGCCACCTTCAAATCTTTCCTCAAGGCTCACATTTACTGTAGGCCATTGACACTCTGTTCTAGTTCTCATGCCTCAACATATTTACTCTGACTGTAACGAAGCCTAAAGCTATATAACTGAAACAATGAAATAATCTTCCCCTGCTTATTCCTTCTTTTACTTCTTCCTCCTCCTCCTATTTCTCCTGTGCTGAATTTGAGCTTTTAACTTGAGACAAGCACCTGTCTTCTAAGTGTGCATTATTTTGCATACTAATGGCACTATGCAAATAATAGTATTAATAATGATAGTGGTGACAAAACACCCAAACAGATAAATATATCAAATAGGCAGAGATTCAGAACTAGAGGGAAGGAGATTTAAAAATATAGGACAGGTCCCTGAAGACAAAGCAATGGGAGGAAAATGAAGGTGGGCATTAAGGGAAGCTCACATTATACCTTCCTCCAACTTCAAGCTTCCACCTGCCCCAGCCTGCATGGTCAATGGTGAAGGATCCTGGAGTTGTGGTTCAAAACACCTGGAGGGCACCAGCTTAGGGCAGCCTTTAATGGACCAAGGAAAAATGCCAAAGACTTAATGGAAAAGGAGGGTTTTGAGGGGGTTCCGAGGAAGAAATGGGAGGCAGCATCATAAAGATACCCAGAGAGGCAGTTCTAGGCATAAAGTCAGCAAAGAAGGTGACCAACCACTGAAGACAGCTGAGAAAAGTTGGACGAAGTACAGGGATGTCTTTCATTTGGCCCGCCAGGATATACAGAGCTGATTTTCGCAGGTTAGCTCAGTCTGAATAGATCGTAGCCTTCCCTCAGCCGGGAAAGCAGTAATAGAAAACCCTACTTCACTCTTCCCTAATCGGGTGCCCTCCAGATCTTTCGGACTACAGCTCCCAGCATTCCTGACTACGCTGGCTGGGTCTCATCGGACTTCAAGTCCGAAGCCTTTGCAGGGCACCGGGTTGCAGAAGGCTGACCTACTTTTACCTGAACCGAGAGGGCTGCATCCAGCCAGAGCCGCGCCGCCCCCCGCTCCCTCCCCGCGCGCCTCCGCCTGCCACGGATGCAGGAGTGAGCGGAATCCCCGGAGCGGCGACACCTGCCGCCTCCGGACCTGAGCCGAGCTCCGCGCCTGGCGGGAGCAGAGCGGCGCGCCCACCGCAGCCGGCGCGGGCCGGGAGCTCCCCGTCCTGTTTGCGGGGGAGAAACGCCGCTCGCAGGCGCCCGTCCTTGCTGCGCGTACCTCGCGAAAGGGAGCTGGAAGCGCCTCGCCGAACCGCAGGCAGCCGCGACGAGGCGCGCTCAGGCCGGCGCGCCACAGCTTCTCCGCTCGGAGTCGCGCCAGCGACGAGGGGCTGGGAATCCGCGCCCGGCGCCGACGGGGCAGCCAGGGCGGCAGCGAGCGAGCGAGGGAGGGGCCAGAGGGCGGCGACTGGCTGGCTCGGCGGTCCGGAAGTCGCTGGAGCGCGCCCTCGCTGCCTGGCGCTTGGGGAGACGCGGTGGGAGCCGAGCCGAGCCGAGCCGAGCCGGGCGGAGGGGCCGGCGGAGCCGCCAAGCGGGGCCTGGCAGCAAGACGCCGCTGCGGGCTGCCTGCGCGGCGCACCTGCCTGGCCCCTCCCGGCGGAGCAGGCGAGGGCGCGCTCCCCGGGCAGGGGGAGGCCTGCGGGGGTGGCGAAGCCAGGCGGAGGCGCTTCTCGCGTAGGGGCGAGCCGCCGCACTGCGCGGGACGCGGAGCGTTTGGGGAAGCCGCCAGGCCCAGGGGGACCCCTTCAGTGGAAGCGAGGCCGCCGCCACAGCGTCGGCGGGCCCTTTCTCGGGATCAAATGGATCCCTGAATGGCATGCAACGCTCGCATCTGCAGAGATACTTACCGGAAAAGGAAGGGCAGAGGGAGAAGGAAGGAGGAAAAAATGTTTCTGCTCCAAGTACCGGTAGAGGCTGGCCTGACAAATCCGAGCCGCTTAAGGCTTTATTTAGTCATTAGATTTGTTTGAAGGCCGTCCATTAGCATCGTGCTCTTTGGGTGGCCATTAGAATCCTAAGGAGGATGGAGGCCAATCCTAAATGTTCCTGCAGTAAGGGAAGGGATCCTAATCCTGACCTACCTGATGCTAATTTGCCACAGCACTGACGCTGGCAGGGTGCTGCGAGTCTTGGCTGTAAAATCCAAGGCACTCCTAACTGCTCCGCTGACGGGAAGGATCTGAGCCCTACTGCTATTGAGTCAAGGAGTTCTGTGAGCAGCCTGAATGCCACTAGGTTGAACCTCTGAGAGTCCAGTTTCCTCAGCCATAAGCCCAGGACAAGATCGAACTTGAGTTCAAAGTACATGCAGGGATTCCAATGTCCAAAGCTCTGAACCTTAGAATCTATTTCATGTGGGTTGAGGCATAAGAATGACCAGAAATCAGGAATTATTCCCAAGTGTGTCTCCATCGACACTACACTAGACATTATCAGCTCAAGCAGCTCAGAGAAAACGTCAGTCATTTTATGGCAGAGCAGTTATAAACCTTGGGGGCGTGGGAAAATATGTAAGGCTACAGTATTACAATAAAATAGCAATGGAGTTGGCAATGTTATCACACACACACACACACACAGGATACTCAACATTGTGAAGGTGAAAAATATTTTTATTGTGGCCCAAAAGTTAAGTCGTCAAACTGGCACATGTCAGTTGCAAAAGTATTCACCCCAGGTTTATACTCTCTTTGATTCCAGGCCAAAACCTTTTTATTTAAAATTTTAAACATTAATAGTTTTTAAGCTTAGTCACTGTTTGTTTAGCAATTTATTGTTTTGTTCTGTTTTATTATTTATTGCAATTGTTATTTTAATTGTCCTTAAATATTGTAAGCCGTCCTGAGATCTTGTATAATAGGACGGCATACAAAAGCTTTTAATAAATAAATTAATGCCTATAGGAGCTCCAGTGCATCCCACTGCCTCCAGAAGTGACATATGGTAAGCAGTTGAATGGAGTCCGCCTGTGTTCCACATCTGTTGTTGTTAGTCGCAAAGTCGTGTCCGACCCATTGCGACCCCATGGAGAACATTCCTCCAGGCCTTCCTGTCCTCCACCATCCTCCAGAGTCCCCTTAAGCTCACACCAACTGCTTCAGTGACTCCATCTAGCCACCTCATCCTTTGCCATCCCCTTCTTTTGCCATCTATTGTTCCCAGCATTAGGCTCTTCTCCGGGGAGTCCTTCTTATTAGGTGGATAAAATATTTATATTTTATATTGTGATTTATATCCTGCCTTTTTCCTACAAAGGGCTCAAAGCAGCTTACATCGTCTCTTCTATCTGGCCTTCTAAAGAGCAGTCAGGGATGATCTCCTCTAGGACTGACCAGTTTGATCACCTTGCGGTCCAGGGGACTCGCAGGAGTCTCCTCCAGCACCACAATTCAAAGGCCTCAATCCTTTGGTGCTCAGCTTTCCTTATGGTCCAGCTTTCACAGCCATACACCGCAACTGGGAAAACCATAGCCTTGACTATATGCACTTTTATTGGCAGGGTGATGTCTCTGCTTTTTAGTATGCTGTCTAGATTTGCCATAGCTTTCCTCCTCAGTAGCAAGTGTCTTTTAATTTCTTGGCTGCAGTCCCCGCCTGCGGTGATCTTGGAGCCCAGGAAAATAAAGCTGTCATTACCTCCATTTCTTCCCCATCTATTTGCCAAGAAGTGAGAGGACCAGATGCCATGATCTTAGTTTTCTTAATGTTGAGTTTCAAGCCAACTTTTGTGCTCTCCTCCTTCACCTGCATCAAGAGGCTCTTTAGTTCCTCTTCACTTTCTGCCATTAGAATGGAATCATGTGCATATCTGAGGTTGTTGATATTTCTCCCAGCAATCTTAATTCCAACTGGTGATTCATCCAGCCCTGCCTTTCTCATGATGTGCTCTGCATATAAGTTAAATAGGCAGGGCAACAGTATACAGCCTTGCCAAACTCCTTTCTCAATTTTGAACCAATCAGTGGTTCCATGTCCAGTTCTCTGTGCTCCTTGACCCGCATAAAGGTTTCTCAAGAGACAAATAAGATGGTCTGGTACTCCCAGCTCTTTAAGAACTTGCCACAATTTGTTGTGATCCACACAATCAAAGGCTTTAGCACAGTCAATGAAGCAGAAGTAGATGTTTTTCTGGAACTCTCTAGCTTTCTCTGTGATCCAGCATATGTTGGCACTTTGATCTCTAGTTCCTCTCCCTCTTCGAAATCCTGCCTGTACTTCTGGTAGTTCTCAGTCCACATACTGTTGGAGGCTAGCTTGTAGGATTTTGAGCATCACTTTGCTAACATGAAATGAGTGCAATGATGCGGCAGTTTGAACATTCTTTGGCATTGCCCTTCTTTGGGATCAGAATGTAAACTGATCTTTTCCAATCCTGTGGCCACTGTTGAGTTTTCCAAGTTTGCTGGCGTATTGAGTCTAGTAGCACTTTTACTGCATCGTTTTTTAAGATTTTGTATAGCTCAGCTGGAGTACTGTCGCCTCCACTAGCTCTGTTGTTGCTCAGACTTCCTAAGACCCATTTGACTTCACATTCCAGGATGTCTGGCTCGAGGTCAGTGACCACCCCATCATGGTTATCAGGGACATTAAGCATTTTCTTGTATAGTTCTATGTAACCTTGCCACCTCTTCTTAATCTCTTCTGCCTCTGTTAGGTCCCTGCCATTTTGGTCCTTTATCATGCCCATCTTTGCATGGAACGTTCCCTTCATATCTCCAATTTCTTGAAGAAATCTCTGGTCCTCCCTATTCTATTGTTTTCTTCTGTTTCTTTGCACTGTTCATTTAAGGAGGCATTCTTATCCCTTCTAGCTATTCTCTGGAATTCTGCATTCAATTTCTTTCTCTTTCTCCCTTGCCCTTCACTTCCCTTCTTTCCTCAGCTTTTTTTAAAGCTTCCTCAGACAGCCATTTTGCTTTCTTGCATTTCTTTTTCTTTGGGATGGTTTTAATTGCTACCTCTTGTACAATGTTGCGAATCTCCATCCATAGTTCTTCAGGCACTCTGTCTATCAGATCTAATTCCTTAAATCTATTTGTCACCTCTACTGTATATTCATCAGGGATATGATTTAGGTCATACCTGAGTGGCCTAGTGCTTTTCCCTACTTCCTTCAATTTAAGCCCAAATTTTGCAACAAGAAGCTCATGATCTGAGCCACAGTCAGCTCCTGGTCTAGTTTTTACTGACTGTATAGAGCTTCTCCATCTTTGGCTGCAGAGCACATAGTCAATCTGATTTCTGTGTTGACCGTCTGGTGATGTCCATGTGTAGAGTCATCTCTTGGGTTGTTGGAAAAGAGTGTTTGCTATGACCATCGTATTCTCTTGACAAAATTCTTCCAGCCTGTGCTCTGCTTCATTTTGTACTCCAAGGCCAAACTTGCCTGTTATTTCAGTTATCTTTTGGCTTCCTACTTTAGCATTCCAATCCCCATAATGATAAGGACATCATTTTTTGGTGTTAATTCTAGAAGGTGTTGTAGGCCTTCATAGAACTGGTCAACTTCAGCCTCTTCAGCACCAGTGGTTGGGGCATAGACTTGGACTATTGTGATGTTGAATGGTTTGCCTTGGATTCGAACTGAGACCATTCTGTCATTTTGGAGATTGTATCCCAGTACTGCTTTTCCTACTCTTTTATTGACTATGAAGGCTACTCCATTTCTTCTGAGGGATTCTTGCCTGCAGTAGTTTACCTGATGGTCATCTGAATTAAATTCACCCATTCCTGTCCATTTTAGTTCACTGATTCCTAAGATGTCGATGTTCAGTCTTGTCATCTTGTTTGACCACATCCAGCTTGCCTTGATTCATGGATCTTACGTTCTAGGTTCCTATGAAGTATAGATCTTTGCAGCATCGGACTCTCACCACCAGATACATCGGCAACTGAATGTCCTTTCGACTTTGACCCAGTCGCTTCATTCTTTCTGGTCCTACTAGTACTAGCCCTCTGCTCTTCCCCAGTAGCATATTGGACACCTTCTGACCTGAGGGGCTCATCTTCCGGCGTCATATCTTTTTGCCTTTTGGTACTGTCCATGGGGTTTTCATGGCAGCAATACTGGAGTGGGTTGCCATTTCCTGCTCCAGTGGATCATGTTTTGTCAGAGCTCTCTGCTATGACCTGTTCGTCTTGGGTGGCCCTGCATGGCATAGCTCATAGCTTCATTGAGCTACACAAGCCCCTTTGCCACAACAAGGCAGTGATCCATGAAGGAAGTGTTCCACATTACCTGAGATTAAATGTACCTGTTCTAGGAAGGCCCCAGAGCTTGTTAGAGAGCAAACCTAAAACAGCATCATGAAGACAAAAGTGCTATCAAAGCAACTCCAGATTAAGGTGTGGAAGCACCATTCTGAGTTGGGTTACAAAAAACCCAAGCCATGAACTTCCCTCAGAGCACTGTTAAATCCAGTCTTACAAACTGGAAAGAATATGGCTTAAACATGACTCTACTGAGAAAAGGCCATAACTCAGTAAGGAAGGAATTAGTTAGAGAAACTACCAAGAGGCCAGTGGTAACTAAAGGAGATGGAAAGATCGCTGAGATGTCCATGGACCTGGATGTTCCACAAAGCTGGGCTTTATGGAAAAGCAGTAAGAAGAAAGCCATTGCTTAAGCAATCCCATATCAAAGCCTGTTTGGAGTTTGCAAAAGGATGTGTGAAACAGAGTTTACCTGTGGTAAAAGTTTCTCTGATCTGATGGGACTAAAATGGAACTTTCTGGCCTCGGTGCAAAGCCAACAGTGCTCAGTGCCCTAAGAACAACATCTTCATGGTAAACCATGATGGAGGCAACATCATGTTGTGGGGATGCTTCTCCTGTGGAGGGACTGGGAAACTGGTCAGAATAGACAGCAAGACTGATGGAGCCAAATACAGGGCAATTCCAAACCAAAATCTGTTTCAGTCTGTAAGTAACCTTGGAATGGAGGTCTGTCTTCCAGCAGGACAATGACCCCTAAATAAATAACCAGTGTAACACTGGAACGGATTCAAAACAAAACCTGAATGTCTTAGAATGGCCCAGCCAGAGCTCAGGCCTAAAGCCAATTTCATGTCTGAGACAATTTGAAATTGCTGTTTATCAGTGGTCCCCATCCATTCTGGCAGCACTGGAGGAATTCACCAGAAAGACTGGGCAAACATTGAAACATTCAGATGCACTGATAGAGACTTCTCCAAGTAGCTGTAATTGCTGCCAAAGATGCTTCAACCAAGTCTTGACTCAGGAAGAAGACTAGCTATGCAACCATCAAGTGCCCGTCTGCTTTTATTTAATTTTTGTGCCACAATAAAAATATTTTGCCTCTTCAGTGTTGAGAACAAAATGTGAAAAAATCAAAGTACAATGAATACTTTTGCAAGGCATTGTGTCTCTCTTTAAATACTTGCATCAAAATGTTTAAAAAATATTTCCTTAGGGCATCAGAAAATGTGATAGCTGCATGGTTTAGTTAACATGTTCATCAAATTTACTGAAATGCTTTTAGTTATTTAATCTGTTTTAAATTTGGTTCATAGAAATTTTATCCTGAATTATATTGTCCTTGTATTTATATTGTCATCAGTGTTTATTACTAAACCTGTTTATGAATTGTCCATAGTATAGAGATGAAGGTGGTGGTGGTGATGATGATGCCACTATCTTTGCATCCTTACCAATGCCAAATAATGCAAAAATTGCCTGTAGGTTGCAGAAAATTCTTGGGAATTTGTTAAACCTGAATATTAATGAATCCTACAAAGACTATGTCAACAAATTTTTCTTCACAGTACTGTGATGGTGATATTTTCAGTGAGCACAGGAAAACCTTTCCATCCCATTTTAGGAAATGTAAGCAGGCTAAATGCATTGTTTTGTTTCCTCCAGTCCTGAACTCATTTCCCGTTTTTTGCTGTAGCTAAGTGCTACAATCTTCAAGCTACTTACTCAAACAGCAGCAGGAAACAATTTGTGACCTTCAAAAACAAGAGTATGTCATCAACACTGTTATTCCTACCTTAACTTGTACTACTGTAGCTGTTTACATATATTACTTGTATTTTAAGAAAATTACATTTCATAAGGCTTAAACTTCATGGGAAGTTATTTGGCAGTGACTGTATACTACATTGTTCTGTACTAGCAAATGAAGTAATGTGGGTTGCATTCATCACCACATAGTAAAGGTTTATTTGGAATTAATTCTTGTATATAGATTTGTCATTACACCACCCCAAAATCCTCGAGTATATTTGCTATTAAGGCTTTCCAAGGGCATGGGAAGCCTATTCACATTTCATACACAGAAAAAGATAAAGGTTGGTAGAGGCCTATGTTAGAGATAACAAGATACCAAATCTTGTTTCACATTTTAGAATACTCACACATATACTCCAGCAGCATTCAAACAGAAAGGGTCCACCAGCCAGGAATGAAGGCAGCAGCCTCCTCCTTTGTCCCAGCACCACACCCAAAGATGGACCAGCTCTGTCCCTGGAGGCTTCACTCATAGCCCATCTCTTACTCCTCCCTCTGCTCACTGCCCAGGGCCCATTATTCACCTCAGCAACCAGCACCTGTCTAAGTTGTGGGGAGTTGTGCAAAGGAGACTGTTGCTGTTTAGTTAAGGTCAGGCACACAGAATCTCTGCCATGCAGCTCCCCATGAACCTGAGACAGATTCAGTCCTGCCCTGGCCCCTTCCCTTTTGGGACCCCTCTCGTCTTCTAGGCAACCTCAGGGATTCACTCAAGTGTGTGTTTATATTATCATACACGTGTGTGTGTTTACAATTTCTTCTGGAATCCCCAGTCATCTTTTGCAGAATCCTAGGGTTCCAGGAAACCCCAGATGAAAAAAGCTGATCTAATCAATACTTGTAGTACATTTAAAACAGGCTGTTTTAAATGTACTGGCATACTGGAAAGAAACCTAAGATAATGTGGAGAAACATATGCTAGACACACTCTCCTTGATACACTGGCTTTCCTCAAGAAATCATATGACTCTCTCCTCTCCCATTCTGTAGTACCATCCCTAGAGCGTTACAACATGTGATTCATTTGATTATGTGGAACTCTTACATGACTGATACAAAAAGCAAAGTTTTCGTGTGTATTAATGTAATCAAATTTACAATGAATTGGTGAGTGAGTAAAGTTACCTGCTCTGAATACATTCCAGGGGTGTGATTTTCATCGTTATATTTACTGACAAATATTTCACTTACACTCATCCTACAAAACTTTAATTCTTTAAGGAACTTTTAAAAGAAAAAAATCTTAAAGAGATGTGGCATCAGTGACACAATTTTGTCAGAATAAACAGTTTGAAGTTAACTTTATTAAAAGTCTTGAAGTTAACAGTATAAACAATGCAAAAACTTAAGGTAGAACAATATTCTGAACACGCTCCTTTTGTGAATGTGTCTGATAATAGTACGTTTTCTGTCTCACTTGCTTCTTAATGGAGCTTCTAGTCAATCAATGTTATTCATTTACGTTCTAGCGAACACCTTCTAAAGAGCATTTTCAAATTTCTAGAAGTTTGTTCACTTATGAAAGTACAGTGTATGCACACACACTGAAAGGATTAAATCATGACAAGGGAGAGCAGCAGTGTGATAGTTTAAAGGTTTGTTCCCTCTCCTCCCACAAAAAATGCTATTTTTTGGCGAATGCTGTATCCTCTCTCTGACTATAACTAAATGCCAGTGAAGCTGCTGGGCAGCCCACTGCTAAGTGGCAGTATATTATGCATGTTAAGTTTTCGGAATGCACAAACATTGAAAAAAACAGGGACAACTGAGTCCTAGCTACTGAATAGGAGGGAGTTTGGTTGCTGTTAATGTTAATCAGTCTGTATGGGTGGGACAAAGGCAATTACCTGGCCTTGTGGACAGCAGAATAGTTATTATTAGGGTACCAGAATACAAATACACATTTTTAAGTCTTGAAAGCACTCAACCCTTTTATTTCAAGTAATAAGTCGTTACTAACTGTATGTATATTTCATAAATCAATAATATTATTCCTCAAAATCTCTGATAGGAACAGATCAGCATTAGGATATCAATCAGGTAACTCAGTGGAATCATTCATATACATCCCTGTAAGAGGTGCAGTTAAAAGTTCCCACTGCTGAATGATCAGCCATTATTATGCAAGTCAATGTGTACATTGCTATATCAACACAAGATGATCTGATTTTCAATTAGTATTAAGCTATAGATATACGATTTTAAATATTAACAAATAATTTAACTGATGACTGTTGGCCTTCATGAAAGCACAATGATTCCTGCCAACATATGAACTTGACAATCACACTATAGTACAAATTCTTTACACCCTGTTTGCATTTACATAGCCATCTCTACACTTTAATACATTATTTTCAAGCTACAACTTCAGGAACAACTAGCTATGCCTTTGCTTTAGCAGTTCATCAATCTGAGTCTTGTACATATTTTTCACATCTTCTAGGTCCAACCTCAGTTCCTCTGCCTCTTCTGCTTTCTCACCATACATCTGGAGAATGGTATTGTATCGCTGATCCAAGTCCTGGAACAACGTAACACAATAGTTATGAACTTGTTCTCTCATGTTACAAAAAATGAACACACCTTTTTGTGAAACTCAAGGTATCATCATTGTATATACACACAGTAAATTTAATTCTCCAAGTGCCATCCATACACAAGAGGTCTTATATCTGGAGGCCTGGAAATACCTGGAGATTGCAGAAAATACCAAATTATTTTTAGGAAGGGAAAAAACCCTAGAGGAAGGGATTTCAAAACAAGCTAATGGGAAATGATAATGGTGCATGGGCACAGAATACGGGTTGGTCTTTATGAAGAAAAAATATGCAAAACTAAAGGGAAATACATCAGAATAACTAATCTCAAGAAGAAAATCCAAGTCAGCAAAGACATCTAAATCTGTCCTTCTGTTAAAATCAGCTGATTTAGATTCCTGTGCATGTTACTGACTTCAGGTAGCCATGATGCCTAAGAGGTCATTTTCTGTAGCAGCACCCTGGAATTCACTGCCCACCCCCTCCCCGCAGCCAGAGCTTAGCTTTGCTTCCTCGTCTGCAATGTTTCACCAGAATTTAAAGACCTTTCTTTTGCAGAAAGCCTTTGATCCAACTGTCATGTAAGCAGAAGCCTACTTGTAGAACAGAACTTCCCTAAAGTCCTCTGCACATACTCCAAACCTGTTCTGGAGGGTCACCTAAACCTTCAGACAGATTTGGAGGCTACAAGTTGAACTACGTGGGGGTAGGGACAAGGGATATCTATTAACCTTCTGTTGTGGATTTTTAAAATAGTTTTAAACATATGTTTGTTGCATTGTGAGCCACTTTCTGAATGCCTAGGCCATAATAACAGGCCTAAATATGGAGATAAATAATAAACTTGTCTTATATTATAAAAATGCTAACTTTCAGTAAAACTGTATTTGTTTTTATTGCCTGACTTTAATTAACATGAAATTCTTAAACATTTACTGAGAACTAAGTCCCAATGCATTCAATGAGGCTTATTTTTGAATAACTACATTTTGCATGGCAACCATAAATTTCACTATACTTCAAAAGAAATACTTTATATGTCCAGTAGAGTCACATTTACAAAACCTGCAGAATCCAGTTTAGATTTCTCCAAATATAAAACCACCTACCCGAAGTTGTGCACGTAACTTGGGTATCTCTTTTACTTTATCTTCTAAATCATCATTTTGATTGGTTAATTTTACCAGCTCTTCTGCCATTATTGACCGGGTTCTTTCAAGGTTTCCAATTTCCAGCTGAGACAAGGAATGTTTGATAAACAGAACTGAACATTAACTTTATCAAGTAAATTACAAGTTACTGATTTTGTTTTTTCATAGTAAGGTGTTTTGATCTTGCAAGCTTCTGCATTAGTACTGTTCAGGCATGCAGATTAAGAGGTTAAATCACAGAAAACAAAATTGACACAGTAGGCAAGATGAATTTCCCACCTCAGGTGGCAGACTGTGAGCAGCAGCTAACTGGGAACTCCAGTGAGGCAGCAGGGCGTGTGCCCTGCAGGGTGCCACCAAGTTTTCTCCTGCTGCTGCAGAGCTGCTGCCCACCCAGCACTATTAACACTACAGCAAGTACCCCAAAGTGGATACTTTTTCAGCCTGAACCGGATGGTGGGCAGTTGCTTCAAAAAGCTTGCCTGCCTGCTTTCTCACCTCACACAAAATAGAGAGCAGGCAGGCGTTCTGGAAAACCTGATGGCTGCTCTCTCATACAGGCCTTTCACTCACAGAATCAGACTCTGTGACAGCCTGAAATTTGAACCCTGCCACAACAGTGAATTGGAAATGATATAAGTCTGTGCAGAATTCATAGAATTGTGTACAGTTCCCCAACCACCACCTATACTTCAAAACTGTTCTATGATTTCTATACTCGAGTTGACATTACTAAACTTCTTCAACACTGAAACTGTCAAGCTATGGAAATACTGGCTCCAGTAAGCTAGCAAAACAAGCACACAAAAGCAACTGATAATATTGGTCAACCTAGTGTGCCTATCATTTAGTCCTACACAGACATGCAAATATAATTCTCACGTTACCTGTAGGTGGGAAACCTCTCCATCTCTTAATTTTAATTGGGACTGTAAATTTTCAATAATACTTGAACCTGCTCCCATTCTTACTGCATCATATAGATTGTTCCCACTTGTAGACAACGACCCAAAAGAATGATCGTGTGGGTCATCCTGCAAGTAAAGCATAATATAACCATGAAAATGCATGCTGAAGTGTCCCTGCTTAGCCATATTTATCAATCATGAGGTGACTTCTACCCTTTCACTCTCTTGCAGCCTAATTTAATTGATGGCTGTGTTATTGGGATTCAAAATTTGGAGAATGACCATCTATGCTGTCCTGAGCTCAATGAAGAAAGGGACAAATGGACATTTAAGAAGTGTAACGGTCAATTGTGGTACCAAAATGCAGCATTTTATCCAAATGATATTGGAGTTAATCTACTGATATTGGGTAAAAGACTAAACCCAGAGCCTGTAAATTAAGTTCTATTCAGATTTCATCAGAAATGGAATTCCCTCACGAAGGCCAAAATGCAGCACATACATCAAAAGAGGCAAGTATCAGTTACAATTATAAACTGTCTTATTTATCTTCTATATGGTGTTTGCTACCTACATTCTCAGATTTACTAGCAAAATTATTTTAAAAATTATGTCAATGCTATTAAAATAATAAAAACATTATTTTACTTGTATTTATTTGAGCAAGAAGATGGAGCTGGAGTAAACTAAAATGCCAATAAACCACTTAGTGTCATGATCCAAAGGAAAAATACACAGAAGCCACATAGGAAGGTGAAAAGAGCACACAAGAAAATACCTGCGATATGAAGGATGCCTGGAGGCCTGCCATATCAACACCACTTATGGAGCTTGAGCGTGACAAAGTTGGTGTGCTTGAGACCGTTTCCATTGTTGATGAAACATATAACTTACGTTCCTTGAAGAAAATGTATTGAGAAAAGCAAGTACCAATGTTAGGGAACATTTCAAAGGGCAGAGAAAAGAGAAAATGCCAAAGGCATAGTCATCAGTGGGTCTCCTCTTTTAAGTAAAATTAAAAGGCTTAAACAAACAAATTAACAGAATTTACTCCTTCAGTTTTTCAAGTGAACTTATATAACCTACTGCTTCCTTGAAATAAAATAACTTATTTGCAGCAGCAGGAAGGCCTAACCTCATAACCAATAACTTATTTGCAGCAGCAGGAAGGCCTAACCTCATAACCATATGGCACAGTGTTGAAAGTGCAAGATGTTTATCGTTGGTGCTAGTCCAGGAATTTATATGACATTATCAAAACAGATGCCTTTCAAATTATGCCTCATTGATTATTCCTCAATGAACAGCAGAAAATGGAGCCTCCTCAAATGTATCAAGAGAATAGGAACATTAGGTGGGTTCAAAGGTTTTGAGAATCAAGGCGAAATCCAGAGAAAAAGGAAGGATAGAGTACGATGAGAAAATAAGATTTACAGGAAGCATAAGTACACAAAACAGGGTTGTGAGCCAGTGGTCCTACCCTGCTTAGATTTCATAGAGTGAGCAAATGGGACAAGCACTATGGACTGTGAAACAGCACATCCAGACTGAAAGGTAAGAACACAGAAAGCTCCCACCTTGAGGAAAGCACTTACAGTCTCTTAAGAACTATCGAAAGCGTTTCACATGAACAAGTACCTTTTCTCTTGCGCTCTCTTGTACAAAAATGGCTTTCTTCTTTTCTTGTTCAACTTTCATTTTCTCCATTTCTAGCTGGGTAGCCAACAGCATCTGAAGAAAGCAAAACAGATTTCACTGTTTATTATTCTATTCAAGAACTCTATTCAAGAAATCAACATTATACCAAAGGACTGGCCGTTAAGAGACCTTTTCCTTTTTTCCTTCTTCAACAGTTTTCACATATTCTTCTTTGAGATTTTCTAGCTCAACTTCATACCTGTGCAGGAAAAACAATACAGAGAGTGCTAAGTCAGTAACAAAAAGTGTGCTAAACCACTTGCATTAAAAAAAAATTAGCTTTAAAGTAGAATTGTTCAATATATCCCATCTGGCTATTTTAAATATGTATATTCTTTTACACCAATCGTTATACAGGTTAAAAGGAATTACCGATTATTTTCATTTTCTAGTTTCTTAAGCCTGGTTCTCTCCGCCTCTAGTTGAGCTTGAAGGCGAGTATTTTCTTGCCTTAGGAGACTATTTTGTGATTCAGTGGAAGAAAGCTGGATTTTATTGGAAAGAAGTTCTTCAGTAGCAGCACGTTCTCTTTCAGTCTGTGCTGCCAGGGCAGTCTGAGCTTCCCCTAATAGCAAGAGAACAAATATAATAATTTTGGTTGCTTAAATTAATTTGTATGTTAACCCTTTTCAGTACCTTTGGTTTCTTTACTTAAATTTAAATGACGGAAGGTATGTGATATTGTGTTTAACTTTTTCCAACACATTCCAGTAAAAAAAATTCTACGTAATATCCCATATAAATTACAGTAATGGTATTTTACTTTTTTCCCCTGAAATAATTCAGATCAAATACTTGTACTGGGACAAAAAAGGAGGACAGGGTACTTTTTACATCACTGAATACAAGTAAAAGAAACATTCTTAATTAGATAATGCTGAGAAGGGCAACTTGTGGTTCTCTGGATGCTCTGCTCAGTGGCTCCCCTCAGCTCCAGCCAGCAGAACCAATGGTAAGTGATGGTGAGAGTTGCAGGCCAAACTGGCTGGAGGGCAACACGCTACCCACCCCTGCCTCAGCTGTCAGAACATTTTTCAATGCTGCTTTTCCCCTGTGCAACTAACCCCATGCAGATTAATCTGATTTGCACTGGAGATTTTTTCCCCAAAACGTGTTGCTATTCCAAATTTCCAGAAAATCAACCTTGGCAATCTCAGCCAATCTAATTTAGACATACATCACAGCAAAGACCACAGATGCAGGTCCTTATTTACTGAACTTCTCTTGGCGTGTGCGCATGAGCATAAGCAATTAATTCATTTTATGCTTTGTATGGAAGTCCCTGACACGCCAACCTTCCCGTGGACGATCACCCTTCTGCCTTACCAAGCCTATCAGAAAGGTTCTTCTCTAACTTCTCCCATGACAAGGTCTGTGCCCCCAGAGTTGCTTGCAGATTTTCTATCTGTCGGAGAAGGGGCCTTGTAGCAGATGTAACACTTTGACTCAACTCTTGGTTGCGAGTTTCAGCTTCTTGAAGTCTCTGAAATTAGAAACTAGATTAATACCACTTCAGCCCAGAGAATACTACGAATATTCTGACATGTCTGTTCTGTGTCAAATTTCATTTAAACATTGCAAATACTAGTAGGTGGTAAAGGAGGAGTACCATCTATAAGCATTTGCATGCCACAAATAAAACTGCTGAATTCCACTACTGTATAGAATCATAACAATAAAACATACACTAGGGGGCATTTCAAATATTTAGTATGAAACAACAAACTGTGGTCTGTTTGGAAAGTGAAAAGTTAGTAGTGTGAGTTTAATACCTTTTTTTCTAGCACTTTGTGAGAAACAAAGCATTGTCACTCCTCAGAAGGAACTCTTACAATACCTGCTGAAGTTCACTAATTTCCTGGCGCAAATAATCCTCCTTTCTAGCTTGTTGCTGTTCTGCCCGTTGCAGGGCTTGTCTCAAATTTGCCACCTACAGGATAGGATTAAAGAAAGAGCGTATGAAATAATGAAGAAAATACACTCAAGGCCCCAATCTAGCACTGTTCCAGCCTTTTAGCATGTATCAGTAACATACAGGCATTCTGTTTGCTTAATGGATTAACTGCATTTACTGCAGCTGAAACTTTCAAAATATGACTTACAAGAGAAATGCTTACATTTACACAGAACAAAATATAAATGTCTCCTGCGCCAGGGGTGGTTTGTTTCTTAATAGTAGACTCATGTCAATTTCCCTCTTATAGTTTTCGCTTAGCCTTCCCATATCGGGTACCCACAAGGTGATTTGGGCTACAATTCCCATCATCCCTGACTGCTACCTGGGACTGATGGGAGTTGTAGTCTGTAACATTTTCATGACACTCATGTGATGAATGCTGCCTTAAAGTTTACAGCATTTTAATACTTTTCCATGCAATTTATTTATTTATTTAAAACATTTGTATGCCACCCAGTTGTGCCACTGCATCTCTGGGAGGTGAACCGTCAGGAGCTAAAACACAATAAAAACTAATTATAGCACTTAAAAAAAACAATGTTAATAAAATATGGATAAAAATACAAAACAGAGAGTGGAGTGGCATTAACTATTAAAATATTTTTTAATTTTTTTAAAAATACACCTCTCTACATTCTTTCCTGCTTATGATTCATTATGTCAAGTATGTGTAATTATGTGAAGTATGTGCTGAATCCTGTAATGATTGCCTGAGTGCATTGCTAAGTTGCTTACTGGAAAAATTGACATGTGCACATGCGTGGCGGGAGGTGAGAGCAAATGCAAGCGCAAGCGCACATGCAATGGTGGTCGTAAAACCATGGGCAAGCTTTAGTTCTCATAGCCAACTCTGACCTGAACCGCTAACGCTTCTTGTTGCTGACGAGCCTCTTCTTGGGCCTTCTCCAGAGCTAAGCCCAGTTCCTCCTTAATTTTCAGTTCATGGCTTAAAGCTGCTTCTTGTGCCTCACAATCCTTTGCAGCGTTGGCTTTATGAAGGTCTGCAAGTTCTCTAAAGAAATGATTTCACAGGTCAATGTACATGTCTACATTTCGTAAGTCATCAGTAAATATACTGCATGGTGTGATACTAAGAAGATTTAAATGAAATAGCCTTACTTGTATGCACTGTCAAGAGCTGCCTGAACACTTCGGTTTTTTTCTTCAAGATCCTCAAGATCCACCTGGAATTTGGTAAGATCCTTCTCTTGGCGTTCAACCACACTATTTAGCTGCTTGATGTTCTCTCTATGCTGCTTTTCAACTTCCTCTTTGCCATCTAGCACCTGTGTCAGTGAAAAGCTATCACAATCTATTTCTGAGCTTACATTTACAGAGCATTTTAATTCATTTTATGCAACAACAATAGAAGGGGAAGGGTTTTGGAAGTCTTCTACCTTGGTCAAAGAGCAAAAATATGGCTAATCTTTAAGGGAGAAAAGATTATCATAGAAAAGGCTGACTTAATGCAATAGTGCACCAGCGGGTCTTTGTTTTCATCTATTTGAGGCACCTTATATGAGCCCATCTTTGCAATGACCTCACTGCATTGAATTATGTGGTATAAACTGGAAAAGCCAAATCAGCCTATTTCCACTCCAGGTTGCTTTAGCATATGTTGAATCAACACTGTACTGCTTCAGCAGTAATCTATGAACTGAAATTATTTTCACTTAAATACTGTTTAAATATATATAGAGAGAATGTATTCTCTCTCAAGATACTTATTTCAAAACATATTTGATCTAAAATTCCACATTTTTACACGGTTGAAGACATGAGCTGTAACATTAGGAAAAGCATGAAATCCAGGGGATCATGTCCAACTCAGGTGGGGATCCACTCAGTTTGTGCTGGCATTTGCAAAAATCAAATTTAGTTTCAAACCCAGAATTATTTGTATTAGTGGGTAGATGTACTTGACAATAATTCAAGTTTCAACTGGGTCCCAAAGACTATGGTACAGCGATGCACACCTACTGTCACACACTTGCACTACTGTTCAGAACACAAGTGTACCAAACAGAAACCTAAGTTTATAATAGAAATACTTAAACAACTGTTTCACTGGGTACCCATTTGTACTGTCAAAAGGCTTCAACTAACGCAGAATGCTGAAGTCTGGTAAGTGCTAAAAGGTAGCAACATATTCAACCTTTATTGTACATTCATCCAAAAGATTTTTAGAATGAAGGTTCCAAGTGTGTTAACAACAGCAAAAATAATAATTAACCAATAGCAATTACAAGAGCTGATTTCGCTATATGCCCTCCCACTCCTTGAGATCTGAGGCGGAGGTCCTTCCTCGGGAGCCCTCCTTGAAGGAGATTAGGAGGGTGATTAACTGGAGGAGGGCCTTCTCTGCAGTGGCACGCCAATTGTGGAAGACGCTCCCCAGAGAGGTTCACCTGGTGCCAATGCTTTTTTTTCAGTGCCAGGCAAAACCCTTTTTATTTTCCCATTATTTTAATGTTTAATTGGTTTTAATTGTGAATTGCTGGATGCTGTGCAATTTTTACCTATGCTTGTTGTAAACCATCCTAAGATGTTAGTAATAGGACAGTCCATAAAAGCTTTAGATAGATAGATAGATAGATAGATAGATAGATAGATAGATAGAATGAGAGAGAGAGAGAGAGAGAGAGAGAGAGAGAGAGAGAGAGAGAGAGAGAGAGAGAGAGAGATCCAGTGGTCTCCATTAAATTGCTTCTCTTTGCCCAACTCAAGGTACCAGGTAAGAACATAAGAAAAGCCATGCTGGATCAGACGAAGGGTCCATCTAGTCCAGCACTCTGTACACACGATGGCAAACCAGCTGCCCACAGGATCCCTGAAGCAGGAAGGATGCAAGACCGCTGCCTGCCCAAGCTCTTCGGCAGCTGGTATCTGCAGGCATGCCATCTCTGGTAAAGAAGGGAGCAGAGAGCCAGCAAGGCTAGTAGCCAGTGATAGCCTCTCCTCCATGAATCTGTCCATTCCCTTTTCATGTTATCTTTAAAGTGCTTCATGGCCTGGAACCTACCACTTCTCCGAGGAACTAAGTTAATTTACATTCTGTAAGACAGCCCCTACGTCGTGTCACATAGATGAAGTCATGAGTGGAAACGGGACCTTTGCCACTTTCTGCAGAAAGACCTCATAGCTGTTCTGTTTTTGCTTCTGTTCTTTTAAGAAGAAATGCAATACCTAGAAGATAATCATAGCTGCTGAGTCAGCACTATGGTTTTATACTCCTGCTGCAAGTTGTACTGTTTACTACTTTTTAAAAGAATGTTGATTTCCTTTTAAAACCTAATTTTGTCTTAGAGATAACTAAAAATGTTTACAATAAAAATACAGGGAATCGGCCCACAGATAACAGCCACCTGAAGAGACAATCACAAGTGTCCTTCTAAGCTTGTTGTAAACCATCCTGAGATGCGAGTAATGGGACGTTATATAAAAGCTTTAAATAAATAAATAAGCTATGTCTAAAAATTCACCCACCTGTTTCAGATGCTGTAAGTCTTCTTCTAATTCTTTAATTTTTTTGGTTTGTTTTACGTTTGTATTTTCTTTTTCCTTCTCCTTTGCTCTTAGTTTCTTAATAATGTTAGAATTTTGTAACTGCTGTTTTGAAAGCTTTTCTCCTGAAAAGAAATATGGTTCTAATTAGCTGATACCACTGGATATTTTACACAGGACCAGTGCTTTTTTTGTAAGAAAAAAGGTGCCGGATCTCACATCTTGTTTATCTTTTATTTAAAAAAATATATATTCAGTTCTTAACATAAATTTAATTTATTTTATTTAAGGCAAATGTTCATAGTAAATTCCAAAGTTTTGTCCAATTCTCGTCCAACAAATTTTCTCGACTCCTTTCCTTGCTGTTAGTATCTATGTGTTCTGTCACTGTGTCTGTTAATATTCTGGCCTTTTTATTAGCAGGACCAGTGGTTGAGAAGTACTTAGTAATTTTTTTCATTTTTAAATTTGGGGGTCACACTTTTACACTAAAAATTTTTTTACACTAAAAATTGAAAAATTCACCAACTTTTTAAAAAATAAATTATTTACCTTTCGCATGTAGTCAATCACTGTACACACACCCACACACATCAGTTGTGTAACAAAACATAACGGTCGCCGCCCGCAGTAAACACTCAGTGCACAACCACACAACCAATCATAAGCCACGCAGCGCCATCACAACCAGCGCGGATCAAGTATGCATGCATCGGACTCAACACACAAGTAACCCGTATGCACCGTTTTAATGATTTTGCCGCCGACCTGCTACGTTCGACAGGGCGATTCGAATCCATGTGGACCAAACATCAAATTTACTTTTAAATTTTAAAGTTACTTTTAAAACTTGGAAAATGCATCAAAAAAAGGTGCCGGAACTCCATTCCGGTGCATTCTATGACAAAAAAAAGCACTGCACAGGACTATGACTCTTTCTACTGCCATTCACAACCATGTTTGCCCAAATATTTGGTTTTGAACCAATAGAATAATGAATGAGGATCATAAATATTACAATGACTTAAATGTAAGTACTTCAGTTTCACTAGTAGAACTGGTAATTTATTGTATAAGACA